GTCACGGACGTTGGACAGACGCCCCTTTTTGCCGCCCATTCCCTTTCCTTTGACGCCCACCTTCCATTTCCGGACCGTTTCCTTTCCTAGCTCATCCCAGTTTGGACACTGTAGATACGTTCCCGTGATCGCCATGCCCTTGCCTTTTCTTTCTCGCCCTTTGTTCCCCCTTTGTCATCTTCACTGCCTCGCTCTCGCGCCTTGTCCTTGGTTGCTAAGCAGCCCCTCTAGTATATAAGGACCCCCCTAGGCGCTCCCTAGTCCCCATCTCGACCTCTTGGTCATTGGGACTAGGTGAGTGACCATAGCGTTGTATCTCTCTCCGATTGCTAATGTATAACTTGGTCATTGGGACTAGTCTGTCGCTGCTTGCGTGAAGGCTAGCTTTCGTCGGTCTCGTGCCTTCGTGCCGACCGCCGCTCTGCCCCGTCGAGTTTTCTGATACGTTTATCCCTCTCTCCCTCGCTTTTCCCCCTTTCGGCTCCTCGCCGCTCGCCTACGGGGTCGTCGCCGAACGTCGACCCGGGTCTACGCGCCTAGTCGCCGCGACACCCATCTGATAAGCCATAGCTATCGGTATACATACTACTAGATACATGTACGAGTTCAGGGCGCTTGTCTCCTCCGGATTTCACGGATACTCCGCCCCTGTAACTCTAACTCGCGCAGAAATCCTCGGAAGTGTCGCCACGTGACAAAATACCGGTGACTCGTAACTCCAACTCTTTGCCGAACAGGCCCTGAATCAAACCGCATCTCTCCTCTAAAATTGTGACACAGGTTTGCGCGCCTCTGACAAATGAGGGTCATCGGGGATCCTGGACCTGGTCGAGCTGTGTTGAAGCTGTTCGGACGACGCCCATATCAGCCAGCAATGAACAATACCATCGTATCTCAACGTTAGCGTCGAGTCAGTGCGAATACCGATACTATCCCACGCACGAACTTGCAAAGGATTTGGAAGTTACACCCCCCTATACGAGGCTCTCTTGCCCCGTTGGCATTCAAAATTTCTAAGCAGGTGTGAATATGTCCCATTGACCTTGCTGCAAATTCTCGAAAGATCTGAGTAAGGGGATGGAGGTACGGCATGCTTCCGGTGAGCAAAACTCGTCGAACCCGCGAGTTCGCAACGTAATGCAAAGCATCAGTAACGTGCAGTCACAGCGGCATATTTGAGCTCCGCTCGGCATCATAATCTGTGCCAGTCAACATCCGCGTATATCCTCCGCTCGCTTATTACCGGAGTTTGAACCCGTCACCTCCTCGCTCTCTTTGTCACGCCCTTGATTGTATTGTACAGTTGTACTTCTCCTCGCCACTGAATCAAGAATCGGGTGACCTGTGTCAGTATTATGGTTGTTTTTTAACTAATTTTTGGATTTTTGGATGTTTTGAAGGCATAGATCAAGAGAGATCTACATAGTAAGGACCAGAAGCGCTCTTACACATAAGCCCGATAGACACCACTTCTCGGGTATGCTCCCTTTCGCTCATCCCTTGGCCACCAAAATTTGAACAGTGTGATGATTATATGTCATATACACATGTACCAAAAATGAAGCCAAACGGACAGGAGGTCGTACTTGAAATCGTGTTTTGCACCACCGTGCAACATTTGCAAGTTCGTGCGTGGGATAGTAAGGTATTGCACACAAACACCCAAGGTGCATCGGTGGGTGAGGGTTCAAGCTGAAGCTGTCCGCTTAACACTACGTCAAAGACATGCAAGAAATGCGATAGTCCATGAGAAGGTGTCACTACAATACAAGATCACTCCAGACTACAACAGACATGAAACGTGCGACGTCATTTTCTCATGAGAGCTCGGCAAAGCCGACAGCATTTTCGTCAACAGAGAAGACGGTGTAGACATTCTTGAAAAGACTATAGGACAACCGTTTTAGGGATCGCGTCCACAAGGAGTAAGACTTGAGATAACTTACGTGTCGCCGAGGAGCCAGACGTTGCTGCCAAGGCCGAGGTCGCCGCCAGAGATGGCACCAACACACTCGCCAGATCCGCTCTCGGTCTCACCAAGGCTAAGGCTACACATTGCAAATCTCAGCGATCTGTGTCAGTTGCACAACTCAACCAAGACGTACTTGTCTGCGCTGATAGCCCAGTCCTTGCCGCCCCAGCTGAACGAGACCTCAGGCGCAGAGTCACAAGGGTAGGAGTAGAGACCCTGCGAAGAGTCGTACACCTTCGAGCCGGAGACGGCTGACCAGAACTTCTTAGCAGCGGACGTGGGCGCGGTGATAATCGTCGAGCCCGAGTCGATGACGGTTTCGAAGTTGGAAGCCTCAGTCTTTCCGTTTACAGACACGGATGCGCCGCCGATCTGCCAGAAGCCGTCGTCGCTGGAGAGGTCGTGGTACTCGATGTCACCTGAGTAGAGGTCCTTGTTCGTGCCACCGATGAAAAGCTCCGAACCGGAGGAGGCGAGCTTGAAAGCGAAGACGCCCTGATCGACGACGCCCTGGTCGACGGCGGTGAAGAAGAAGGGGTCGTGGCCGAGGTTGGAGATTGAGGCAAAGCCGAGACCGAGGAGGCCGTCGGCAGGATCCGACTGGAACTCGGACGACTCCTTCGTAACGGCAGCAAGGTACTGGCCGGTGACGGTGACGCCGCCGACAGTCACTGCAGAAAACGTGCGTTACTAATTACAGTAGTGCTGCCAACGAGATGGCGACGTACCAGTGTCGGTGTAGGGCGTACCGGAAGCAGTTGAGCCATCGCCATAGCTGATGGAGAATGAACCGCTCTTCTTGCTACTGTCGGACGAGGAGCTGGCCTTGTACTTGGCGTGGCTACCGCAGGTCGTGCATGAAGAGGAGGGAACCCAGAGATCTGACGAGCCAGTGTCGAAGTCTACAGTGAAGCTCTGGGCAGGGCTACCGATGGTGATCTTCCCGGTCCACTCGAGGTCGTCTTCCTGATCAGTGAGCTTTACAGCGCCACGCTTCTGGAAGGACTCGGGGACGGTTGCCAGGGGCTTGATCTCAGCACCCTCAGGGAACGCCTGACGGCCGACGTTCTTCTCGAGGTTGATGAGGTTCTGGCGGTGCTTGCTAAAAATCAAACGGCGTGATCAGTCACTGTGGGCAACGGATGGCATTCAATGACTTACTTTTTCAGCTTCACGATCTCACGAACTGCAGCTTCATGGTTGAACGTGCCATCCGCGTTCTTCAGGCTGCCACGCTTCTGGAGGGGGATCCGGATACCAGAGGGAGCGGGCTCGCGAGCAATGGGGCTCGCAGAAGCGACGAGCGCGAGAGCAACAGTGAGGAGGGTAGCCTTGCAGAACATGACTGGACTGATGCGGGGCAAGTCGTGGAACCTGAGAGGAAGGTGTGGAGGCTGAGAGCAGGAGTGAACCTGATGCTGAACGGCAGACGAGCGGACGACTTTTATACTGAGACCCCATATTCGAGAAAAAGCTCAGAATCACGGTTGGCAGTCGTCGGTTCGTGCTGTGGTCCGACGGCACACATGGCGTCGTGGGGTATTACGGAGACGACATGGCTGGATACGCAGGCCGTGATGGGGGTATCCCTCGGTTGCCTGCTGAGGCCGATCGTTCATACTTCCGGGCGTTGATGGTGCTTCTATCACAGCGAACACTGAGCAAAAGGGTGCACAGTCAGCTATGCGGCCCTTCGACAAGCTTGCATCTAGACACATGGGGTGCGCGTTTAGTACAATGGCCATGCGCGCATGCAGGATTATTTTTAGCCTCACAGCGGATTCCATCGACGCTCACCGGGGGAACCGAGTCCGCAGACGTGATGAACTTATGATCCCCGCGTGCTCGCTCTCTATAATTATATGATGCAGCGTGCTCGCTGTCAGCGAAAGAACGATTGCATAAGAAGAGCGCGATTGCGTACTGAGAGAGCGACAACGTTTGACACTCTCGCGGATTGCCGATGCGGCGCTGCGGGTGGGTCAATATGATTCAAGGAAACGCGATGCTACATACTCACAGTCCCAACGAGAGCTTTTTGCGCTCTGATGAGCTTGTCTCCCGCAAAGCGGGTAAGTATGTACACAGGACGATGTCAGGTAGAAAGGCTGTCGTCGTTGTAGCAGGAGATACGTCGGGCGTATGTTGGGCGCTCCCCACGATGCTACGACCCTTCTATTCGGAGCTGGCAGTTCTCACACAGGATCTTGCGGCTCTGCTCGCCGAAAACAGCTCTTTGATTATTACGAGGGTGACCTGCGTTGAGTCCAAACACTCAATGTGACCCTAGGTGACGGTCTGCTATGACACGCACTGCGCAAGTCGCATTCAAGTTCACTTATCTTGAATCACTCACATGTCCAAATTGGCTGAGGACCATAAACGGCCGGACGACTTCAACACATTCCTCCGGCTGATAGCAAAAGCAAAAGGGCATCTGCGCCGAGTCAAGACAGGCCAAGCCGCCGCAGTGGAGACGTATTGGATAGACTTCTCGAGATTATTCCATGAAATTATTGACCTTCCGCAAGTATTTCGCTAGCGGTTTCTGACTGGTGAGGTTAATAGCACGTCCCCACGGCCATTTCGACCGCCTCGCGACCTTGAAGGGAATATAACCCGCGCAAGCACCAATAGTACTCTCATGATCAAGAGGCGCTAGCTACACGCCTTGAGTGCTCTTACATTTGATGCGAACAAGGCCCCTAGAAGAACTTATTGTAGATTCCTGGGACCAAGCGGGGACGTTGGCAACGAACTTCCAATGCCAAACCGTTCGATTTTTTGGAGGCATCGTTCATAAACAGTAGTATCACCGTTCAGAACGTCATATAATTCTAGAATGGCAAAGCCTTGCCGTTGCAATGCCTAGCATGACGTCTAAGACGGTTGTTGCATCGTTGCAATTGGCTGCTACTTCTTGCACTACTGCGACTTACAGATTTGGCAACGAAGGACATATCGCGATCGAAAGTGCGCAATGGTTCTCCTTCGATTTCCCTGAACATTTCTTTGTTACCTGGAACCGCCTTAGTCGGTAGAACCTGTCCGAGACCCTGAGCGAAGCCCGACAAATGTAGACTCAATGCATTCTCAGGAAAGCGCATGCATATGGCTTGATATCGGAAAGAGCTACACCGGTACAATCAGAACGTACACTAGGATAGCAGGGAGAATGGAAGCAAGGCGCGGCCAAAGAACAGTCCCATTGAAAGACATCTGAACAACTGACGGGGAAAGGTAGAGAGTCAGCAACGCTGTACCCGGCGACCAGGGACAGATGGTTACGCCTCAGGCCGATTGACACCGCTCGCAGGGGGGCAAAAAACCGAGGCCCTGCGGGCCACCACCCTCCAGGTTGAAGAGACGTTACTCACTGTATGTACGTTAACCGCCCACACATTCACCTCGGTGCAGCCCTAGAGCTGCTCCTAGCGGTCCCCTCCTCCAGTCTCGACAACGTCTCCTCGAGGATGAGTGCCCGATCGGCGTCCAGCCGCGCTTCCCACTCGGAATCCGTACTCACGTAGCTCTTCGGGCGGTCCTGCTCATCCTCCCCACCCTCCCCGCTACGGTTTGCCCGACTTCGCTCACTCCGGCCCACGCTGAGCGAGCTCTGCACCGACCCGTTACTCCTGGGCCGCTGGGCCCTCAAGGCATCGCTTAAGAAGCCCTGAAGGAGCAGCGTGCTCCCGCGTGTGTTGCCGTACGCGGGGGGCGGGGGGATGGCGATTATGTTGTCCTCGACGTCGCCGGTGCCCAACCCCGACTGCGCGAGCGCCGCGGCGTATGTCGGGAGCGGTGGACGGTTCCAGGGTGCGAACGCGATGGCCATGTCGCGCTCCTGCGACGCCCGCGTCCGCGCGCTGGGCAGAATCTCGCCCGGGTGGACGTGCCCGTAACGCTCGGCGCGCAGGCGGAAGAGGGTGCGCTCGAGGAAGATGAGTTCGGCGAGGCAGACGATGCCGAAGGCGACGTGAATGAATATCTGCGCGGACGTCGAGCTGAACACATTTGTCTGCGTGCTGTCCCCGCTCCCGTCCGAGTCACTTGAACCAGAGGACGAGCTCGATCCCGTTTTGTGCATCCGCTGCACGGTGAGAACCCAGCCAGCGATTGTGCCGCCGAACAGCGCGAGCTGGAAAAGGAAGATAGCGAGGGTGGTCACGCGCAGACCGAAGTACGTCGGTATCCGTTTTGGCTTGAAGAACGAGATGATGCTCCGCTTGCCAGTCGTGTTCGCGGTGTTCGTCGACTCCGCCCGGGAAGGTGAGCGCGGGGGCTGCTCGTCTGGTGGCGGGCTGAGCTCGGAGGACGACGGGGGGATTTCCCTGTCTGCCGGATGTCGCTCGGGGAGGGAGGTTGTTGAAGAACTTGCCTGACCCTCGTCCAACGGCACATCGTGAAGACCCTCCTGAAAGCCTATCTCCCCGCGCTTCCTCGGCAAGGGTCCTGCCTGCGGCCGTGGAGGCTCGTCCGCTACTGGGGATCCCGTTCCATTCACATCCTGCACCCGGGCCTCCTCAGTGGCCGTCGGAGAGGTCACCGTCGTCGTCGTTGTCACCAGCACTGTCGGCAGTTCGGCCAGCGGATCGGAGGCGGCATTAAGAGAGACGCTCGACGCCATCGCCTGCTATAAGAAACGAGCGGAAATTATGCTTGCGTCTGGCTCTGCCGACGCTGCAGCATACAAGAAAACGAGCAGACGAGAACAATGGTATGAAAGGAGAGCGAGAAAGAGAAAGGCTGCGACGTCCAAGGATCCCCCATCATAATTACTAGATCTGCCCGGCGTATCCAGGGACAGCTCAAATCGCAGTTAACAATCAGACGCACCATCCCCCGCGCTGATTGGTTCCCCTTTTCCCCCGCAGTCATTGGACGGCCTGTAGCGTTACTCCCGCCACAACCTGTTCAGTAGCACCGGTATTCGCAGCATGTCTTGCCAGCGGCCAATCCATCAACGATGATCAACCCCAGTATGTACTTAGACCGTCGAATCCAAACACCCGTATCGCATTCAACAAGCCCTGTCCAACTACAGATCCGCAGTGAGCTTAGGCTCTTCACGATACATGATAGAGCCCAAGTCGACGACAGTGTAGAACGAAAAGTTCTTCATCTCTGGTGCCTTGTTCGTCCCATGTGACCGCGAGGGCGTCCCGACCTCAACCTCTTCTGACGGCTCGGGGTCGTCTGACCGATACGTGTACGAAACCAACATGTTGAACTGTCCGCGTCGGCATCCACCAGCATTAGCCAGACGTCTTGTAGGTTTCCCAGAAGGCTGAAGGAACGGTAACTCACCTTGACGTCCCCACGCGCTTCCTTCGGAATAAGCACTTCTCCACTGACGATAGTGACGTTCGCCCGCTTGTCTACGATTCCCACCGAACGTGACTTGCCTCTTCCGTCCTTCCCCTTCTTCCCGCGTGCGTCCAAGAGCTCCACCCCGTCCTCGTCCAGGAACATGCCCTCATCCTCGTCGTCGTACTCCCATGCCTCTGCGAACGCCCCCACGGGGAACGCAGCGCTCGGCAGCTGAATCTGGAACGTGCTCCTGCGCGCGCGCTCAGCCGCCTCAGCATCCTCTGTCATGTGGGCGGGGACCACCGCCTTTGCGAGCCGTATCTGTATCGGGTCGTAGAGCGGGTTCGTGAACGCGAGGTGAAACGAGTACGAGTGACCCGCGATGAGCGCGCCCGCGGTCTGCTGCTCCTCGGCCGCAGCGGCAGCAGAGACCGACTTGGCCGACGAGCGTTTCATCATCTCGAGCGCGGCCTGCGCGTGAGGCAGGGTGACAGCGATGGCTGGCAGGTAGTTGGCAGCGACGAGCTTGATCTTGAACCTAGTGGACTGTGCCTTCTGTTCCGGCTTGATGAGGATGTGGCGGCAGCTGGGACAGCGCTTCGACTTCTTCGACTGCAGGGGTATTCGGAGCGGTTTGAGATCACTTCGCGCGCATGCCCATTAGTTTCCCCCAGATTTTGGTAGACACGCTGCTCACCTGGCGCGGAGCGGTGTCACCCAGCTGTTCGACCATCTCTGCTCTAATGATGCAACCTCGCCCACCGTCTCGAGATGCCTCAACAACTCTACATCTACCTCCCCGCTGAGCGCGGCTGCGTGCCCCACCTCCACTCTGCTCTTGTAGTCCGGGTATTCTTGCCTGTGTGCGGCCTTGTCGCGACCGATGCGAGAGCGTGAGAGGGGGTTGTACTTGCCTACCCCAGGAATGTCACGCGCGAGCGCGGACGAGGCTGCGGCTGTGATAGGGTTCGTATGGACGTGATGTGAGGATGCGCTGGGGAGGGCGGTAGAGGAAGAGGATGCACGTAGGAAGGGCTCAAAGTGTTCCTTCAGACGCTCGAACTCGAGCGATTCCGGTGCGGAGTCCTCAAACTTCTGTAATTGTGCTGGGTTGGGGTGGGTATATGCGCCTTTAGGTATGTGAGACTCAAGAAATCTCACCTGCGAGACCTGTTGGCTTCTCAAATGTGATATCTACTTCGGCCGAATCCCATCGGCAGTGATTGCAGTAGAGAAAGAAAGGAGGCTCGCCAAGAGTGGTCGAGACAATGGGAGACATTCTGGAATCCACGTCCTCTGGCGGGTCGGACGGGACAACTGTGAGAGTATTCCGACAATTCGGACATAGGAAGCAGTTTCGCGCGCATCTATCGCGACGAGTCAGCCCTTCGCTGAGACCCACTAGCTCAGGAAGACATACCTATTCTTTTCTGCACGGACGCTAGCACTGGGGACCTCGAACAAGCAGTTGGGGCAGTAGTAGCCACTCACTTCCACCAAGACGCATCTGTTACATCTGACTGCATCACACTCCTCGCAGAAGAAGAGGTTGTGCAGGGCGTGGAAGCTGTATGAAGACGATGCCAGGTGCGGAGGTGGCGGGTAAGGCGACTCGGCCAGACATGGACAATAGTATTCAATCTTCGGGGCCATCCTATAGTTTCAAGCCTTGTTTCAGAACTCAAGACTGAACGTGTGCGAGACCGATAGGGAGAACGCGATGGATTGAGGTCGACGAGGGTATCGCATGTAGAGCAGGTGCAGGCGCTTACATACACGATATCGCTACTTAGACAGGCTGAGCCGCTGAGGCGCAATCAAGAAGCACTAGAGTGAACATTGCCTGAAAGCTTGCTCAACACTATCCTGACTTGCGACTGTATGTCCATCTTGCTGGTGACTTACTTATCCATGCTCAGGAGTCTGTAGGACTGACTGTCATGCACATGGTCTCCGGCAGGTCAACGTAATCTTGTCTAGTATTGTACAACGAAATATGATACATAGAGTGCGTCTTCCTTTCTATGCTCTGCTTCAGCACCTCGTTCGGCTGATGCCACTAGACGCACAGCAACTCTCGGGGGAGGTCAAATGCATTGTCGACTGACACATGAGCAAATCAGAACCTCGTTGGGAGCAGCTTCTGTTGCCCGAGTTCCGGCACGACATCTGTAGAACGGCCCGCGGCCTACACACGGCTGCACTGTGCAGAGGGCGGGTCTCACAAATATCGATTCTTGGTGAGCGTTTTCTCCATAGATGCTTCAGGAAATGCACTTTTGTTGGCGTTGGTTCAACATACTAGTTTGCATCGAGCTCGAGCATTGCAGTCAGGGGCACTATCTCGTGCATCGCAATCACCATGCTGCCCTAGGGTGCCTGAATGAAGTACGTCTCTACCCCAGAATGTCCAGAACCCCGGGCTGTGGCACAACGGAAAGAAAAGACAAATATACGACGCAGGGACTCGAACATGAGCTTGATGGAAAGAGGAAAAAACACACGACAAGTGACCAAAATCTAGTCACGACAGAATGGAGGAGATCTGCAAGCACTAAGCAGAGAACGTCTATGAGGATGGTGGCTTCGGAAGCGACGTTGACGAGATGGTCAGGGGCAGGAACCAACTAATGGTGAGGACAGGACGGGATTAGACAACAAGACCAGGGCGATAAGAGTGTCGTATGTAGCACAGATGAGCTTAATGCAATCCAAAGAGCAGCAAGAGTCTCCTAGATTGTTACACAGAAGATCAATTATAGCTTCATGCAGGCGAACGCACGATGATTCGTCGGTCTCGGTGGCGGGCCAGCCTGTCGGTGTCGCGGGCCGGGCTCTCACACGGTCCGACTGCAGCCGGCGGACGCCAGAAACATGTCGGTGAGGAGACAGTGTTCCGAAGTCCAGGACTTTTAAGAAAATGCTCAGAGAGTACGGCGCAAAGCCAAGACAACGTATGAAATGATGATGCAAGCACGCGCTGCACATACGGACAAAGTAGAGTAACCACACAATCCACTATCAAAGTCGATGGAGAGCCTCCACATCTTGCGATGATCATGGTCGAGCGACGACCTATTCATAGGGATACTTAAATACCTGCGAGTCTACAGCACAATCTATCTATAATCGTTAGCGTCTACAGCGAACCTACGAAGAATCTACTACAGCGAGAAACATGGGCTTCGACGTCCTCTACGCGGGAGAAGCATCCAGAGGTGGGGGGAGGGGGCCAGGTCACGGAACACGGCGAAATAGAATAGAGAACCGCCGCCGCCGTGTCCGGGTATCCTCCCAGGGCTCTACGGGTTACAAGAATAAACGTGCGGGCGGAGCAGCGTCTGTAGAGTCTAAGCGACAATGCGTGATGGGACAGGTCCGAGTCCAGGCGGCGAGACGGTACGTCAAACGGGCGCGCGAGCAGTCGTGAGCACGGGATTAGCGTCGCGGGGGCGGGGATAACATTAGTCGTGAGATTTAGAAGCCGGGCGCGAAGAATGGATGTGGGTAGGTGGGATGTATGAATAGCGGTGGTGATACATGGGAGCGAATAACCTGCAGAGTGGTGGGATCTATAGCTGGCATGAGAAGAGATGATGATGGAAATGGGTGAATTGAACGTAGAGTAGGAGCGGAGCCAACGGCTCGTCCTGGGTATCGTCCGAGACTCGTAGCGCGAATGTGCCAGACCAGAAACAGTAGCACTAGCGTACAACACGCCGCGTTGCTTCTTCTAGCGCCCACCAGGTGGGCCTGATCGCGAGCATTCTTCGTCGGCGAAGCCAGAACTTCCACAAATTCTCTCGCGGGACCCGAGACGCGTTCTCGTCGGGTCTGGCACTGGCACCACACTGCTCCGCGCCGGGGCCGGGGCCGGGGCCTAAGCTTACTCACGCGCCGAGCCCAGAAGCGGCAGCGAACTCGCTGAACCCAGGAAGCTCCACCTTGCGCTTGGTCGTCTCGCGTTCCTGGAGGCTCATCTCGCCCACCGCGCCATCCAAGCTCCGTCTCCGTACCTCCTTATCGGCCAACATGTCCGAGCGGTTGGATGGTGACGAAGAGGAAGAGGGAAGGTTGAGCGGGGGCAGCTTGATAGGGGGTGACGCTGAACGAGACCCAGGCGTTGACGTGGGCAGAACCTCAGAGAAAGTTGCCCGGGAAGGCGTAATCGTGCTGTCGGCGTGCGACGACGGACGGGGGCGCGGGTGTATGGGCGTCATGCCGAACGCAGCGCGTACCGAATGAGCCAAGTGAGCGTGATGGTGATGGTGCGTGGCCACCGGGTGGTGCGACGAGCGCGCATGATGCGCCGACGGCGGGGACGGCGCACGCGAACTCGATGCGCTACTCGGATCCGCGAAGTTCAGGGACTGGGTCCGGCTGCGCGGGCTGCTCCCGCTGCTGCTCGGCCCACTTGACAGCTGCGGGGTAGGCAGGGACGTAATCGACGTCCTGTCGCTTGTGTATGGGATGTGGAAGCTTGGGGGAGGCATCGAGAAGTGCTCCGCGGATACGCCGTGCGCTACGCCGTACGCCACGAGGTCCCCAGAGCTGCTGCGCTTCGCCATGCGCCCGCTCAGTGTGCTGGCAGATGGGGGACTGCCAGCGATTGCGATCTTGCGGTTGCGCGCGTCATAATAGTGGCCATATTCCTCAACGGGACTGTCAAGCGACGGCGGCGGAAGACGGAAGGGCGAAGGAGCGCGCGACGGACCGCTCGAATGAATGTTGAGCGTGCGGAGACCGCCGAGGAAGGGGCTTGTCGACGGCGTGAATGAGTACTCCGTGCCCGCGGACGTTTTGACGCCATGAGCAGGCCCATAGTGAGGCGCCTCAGCAGGAAGGCGGTGCGTTACAGGAGGTGAAACGTGCGGGGGTGGAGACTGCACCGCATGCATTGAGTCTGAGTCCGAGCTGATTGGCGAAGGCGAGTCTTCATGTCCGGGGTGCAAATGCGGCCTGTTCGCTGCAGGGATGTGGTACGGATGCGACCATAACGAGTGCCCATGGCTATGTTGGCTATGCGGATGCTGCGACCGCGGAAGCGCATGCGAACCCTCCACGACGTGACCTGATGAATGGGGATGCATTGACAGGACATCGCGTTTTAAGTTGCCAAAACTGCGCCGCCGCGCCTGGTTGACGGTAATGGCTTCGTCGTCCACAGGATGGGAGTCGCGCTCCCTCGAGACGCCAAAATATCCATCTTCGCCAGCGGGGAAGTGAGATGAGAAGAAAGGGGTGCCGAGGGGCGTGTTAGTCGCGCTTTTCGTCAACCTGCCGTGACCGGACATGGTGTCGGCATGCCGTGCCTCGTACTCCGCACGACGGAGAGCTTCCAGACGCCGGACCTCGAACTCAGCTCTCCGCACCGCCTCGTCGCGCTCCAGAGCATACAGCTCTTCCATGGCAACGCTCGACAAAGCGGAGAAAGCGTTCGGATTTGATGCGTGGTGGTGAGGATGCTCGCCCGGATGTCCGGCCCGGTGATGCGACACGGGGTATTCGCTCGCTATGGGGTCGGCGGAGTACAGAGCTGTTGGACGCGCATAGGATTCGCCCTGTAATGACTGTGTCAGCTCGTCTGCGACCTCATTATCACGCAATCAACGGCGAACGAGTAGGTGCGAAGCGGCAGTCGCAGATGTGGTGTCAAATGGTGCGTGACCCACGTACTCACCTCATCGTCGCTGTTTGCTCGGCTCCTCGCCTTCTTCTTGACACGAAGGCTCGACCCTCTTGTATAGTCCGCATCAGCGTTGTATGCCGCACCCGATAATCGCCCAGCGCTGATCTCCACGCTGCCATCGGCTATGTGCTCGATCTTCGCTTTGCCTTTGGCCTTGTGGCCATGACTTGAGTCTGCAGCGCCGGCGTGGTGAGTGGTGTCATGGTTGTTGTGTATGCGAGAGTGCCTCGTGAGTTCGTCGGAACGCGAGAAGCGCTTCTCGCAACCAGCGAAAGTACACTCGAAGGGCTTCTCTCCGGTGTGTGTGCGGATATGCCGGGTCTGTGAGGGGGAGATAAGAACATAGGGGTGACTGAGTGGGTGACATACACACCTGGTGTTCCAGCCTGCTGAAGGCACGACCGCAGAGCGGGTACGGGCATTTGTATGGCCGCGCCACGACTTTCTCCTGGGAGTGCGGGGGAGCTGGAGGAGACGTCGGGGGAGGCATTGTGTCCATATCCTTTTGGTGGTGTAAGATAGCGTGGAGGTCCATGGGAGATTTGACGGAAGGGAAAGGATGGAGAGACGGGGAGGGTTATTAGTACCTGAGTGACGGACGGTTACGTATTTCGTTACTGACCTGGAGGAGATTGGTGTAACGTGGAAGGCGAAGCGATGATCTATAGAAAGGGCTAGGGTTCGGGGGGGAATCGGTCGAGGAAGGCCTGGTACGGCGGCAAGGAGGAAGTGTGGACTTTGGAAGTGGAGATTACCCCGCGTTGACTGAATGGCGGATGGTGCCGCACGGCGACGTGAGTGGGAGAGGAGACGGAAGTGGCCAGGGAGAAGAAGCAGAGATGAGAGAGATGAGGGTCCCACCGTGGATGATCCGGCGGGCTTCCAGACGGACTGGGAGGTGGACGAAGCAGGAGGATGGGGGCGAGAGCGAAGCGGGGTCGGCGCCAGAAGAAGCGAGGAGCTGGCAGGAGAAAAGGCTGTCCACACCCCAGGGGAGATATCACGGAGCTTGGCAGATGGTCGCAGCCGTAACGGAGTCCTAACGTCAGAGAATGGCAGGGGACCGTGTTGGGCGCCGTGGGGTGAGATGAGGGGAAACGCTGAGAAGGTGCCGAAAGGGCACCAGCCGCTGCGTTCTTGTCCTTCCTGCGGTCGAAAATTTGCAGCTGAAAACGAGCGAGATGCTGACAGGCGGGGACACCGAGCACAATATTAATCGATGGCGCGAGCCACGCCGGACGTTGTCTCGACACAGGGCAGATACGTTTCGCCATCTCCCGCCACGATGGACTCCGGTCATGCCTGCCAAATCCGGAAGCGTCGCCTGCGATAGCAAACACCCACACCCCTCCCCCGCTTTCCGAACATCTTCCGCCGGCAACCGTCCGCGGCCGGGTGCACTCCCCTCGTCCCTCCGGCCCCAGCGTGCCCCGCCGCGCCCTCTCACGCTCCCAACGTTCTTCCACATATTCTCTGCACTCCCCAGGAGGCGGGGAGCAGGCGGTATGCATTGCGAGCATCGCCTCCGGTGCCACCCCGACCCGCCCGACACACGTTCGGTGTTTCCATTTCGTGTTATCAGCAGCCTGGTCTCGTTGACATTGCGGGGCAGGAACGAGGCTAGTCCCGCGGCAATCCGCCATCTCAGATGTGCATGACGCGTACTCACAAACGACTCGACTGTGCCGCCGATCGCCTCCTGGATCACCTCACTTATCTCCAGATCCAATCCGGCCAGAAATCACAGGCCTCCGCTCCCATCAACGTCGACTGCCCCCCATATGGGGCCCATGGGGGGCGGGGACCTCCTCATCCCGACCCTATCGTTGACACAAAGTACGCTGTCGCCATATCCATCTCGCGCCGGGGCTCGCCACTCTTCTCCAGCGCTGCTCGTTTGTTGGTCTACCTATCACTGTATCACCCCCCCGCCGCCGTCCTCGCCGTCTCGCCGAGTCACGCCCCGGGCTTTCACGAGTAGTTCCCCCGCAGTGCTCGGCGGTTGCATTCGGTCGGTACACGCACTTGGTGACGCTATCGCGGTCTAGCGCGGTCCATGCAGCCTGTCTCTGATAGTCTTGCGACTGTTTGGGCTACGCTGATCCATTTCTCGCCACGCCCAGTGTTCGCCCGGGTACACACAAGAAGGTTTGCCGGCATGGTTTCGTATTCTTCAGGACAACCTCCTTCCTCGAACCAGCGATGACGTTGGGTTTGCGACTCTGGCGCTTCGTTTCTCTGGAAGACAGAGTCATCTTCTTGATATTCTCTCAGGGACGACGGGAGCACTCCGCGTTGGCGAGTCTACCCTGTGCTCAGAATCGCGTCAACTCGGACCTTGTTGTGAGCCGCTGGGTCATCTCGCAGAAGAACGTACGGTGCACGCGCTCATCGGGCTGCCAGTGTACGTCGTCGCAGCGTCTCGTCACATCGTCATCGTGGTCAGGCGACGTCCTTGACTACGCCCCCACTGACGCACTGGACGGAAGTCGCGTCTTGGTTTTCCTGCTCGAGACTGCTCGCGGCGCGGCCGCCATCGCCCAGAAACCTCGTGAAGAACCTAGGAAGCGCCGAATGACCTGATCTTCCGGAAGCATTACGTTGCGGCGACGCTACCTCCACATTCTTGGGTCCTTTGTGCAAGCTAGAGGTGCCAGACCAAGAATCTAGACGTGCTCGCGCCGCCGTTAATGGCAAAAGTGGCATACAACGCGCGTAGATCTGGTGAGCACCATCGCAATGAACCTCGGCCGAACCATGTACGTGATCACTAGCTGGGGGCACAGCATGTGCACGCACATCTGCACGCATGCTGTGCCGCTTGCTGTACGACCCGAGGGTCATGTCCATGCGAACGTGCCCTAGGGCAAGAACACATCTGGCGCCATATATCCTCATTTGCCACAGCTTCTTCGACCTTGCTGTACGGCTGAACTTCGCTGAGAAACTTGCCCCTGTCCACTGTACTAGTACAATGTGCAGCGGGGGCACGATGACGCGTCGTGGGTACACGCTAGGTACACGCTGATCATAGTAAAAGCAAAGTAGCACAGCGTGCAGCATTAGTGGCTGTCGTATGTATGTGTCTTCTGTCCGTTCGTCCTCCGAGTTTCGGCGAAGCACATATGAAGAAGGCGCGGCAGGACGGGCCGCATGGTTCTGGTACCCGCACCAGGCACAGTACGCACTTCTTTGATCACTCACAAAGCTCTAACTTCTGCCTTGAGAACAGAACCTACTCCACCTTTCTGCTCGGCTTCCGGCGATGAGGCGGACTGGAGCCACAATGCTTCTGAGCGATACCGTCTCTTTTCCTTCCAGCCCGTCGGGCCTCTCTGGGCTTCGTTTCAGTCGAGCTTATGCGTCCTCTTGCTACCCTGCCTGCATTGCGACGCCTCCCACAGGCAACTGCGGGGAAACCCTGAGAATGAGGCGAAGATCCTCCGAGCAGGCCCCTTTCCCCGCACTTTAGCTCAATCCGTTTATCATCAACACACACCCCGCGTAGCTCCGGGCGGGTGCTCTCCTGCCATCGGGACACCCTTCTCGATTCCACGAGTGGCACCGAATTGGCGCAATCCTTGAGCTCGGGACGATTTGCTACCTATTAACATATGCGCCGTATGCACGGGCACCCAAACGACTGCACCCATTTGTACTTGGTACACGGCGTATACCAGTAAGTCCATTACCCAGTCCGGCCGCCATGCGGGCACAATTGGAGCTTCGGTCACGAGCATAGCCTGGGCCTCGACAATCCCATCCCAAGCTGTGCATCTACTCAACATCGCCCCCCTTCCCGCCTTTTCGCCCCTCCCCCGCTTCTTCAGGTGTTCAGGCTAGGCCACTTCGAGCCAACGCAGGCAGCGCGGGCCGTCTCCCTCTGTGTATTTTTGGCGACGCGCTCACGAACAATAGCGGCCGGTGATTCAGAACCTTGTCGGGCTTAAGCCCTCTACCCCGCACCCCCTCGGGGCGTCCACAAACTCAGCAAAGTTCGAGTCCCACCTCGACAGGTGTGGCCCCTGCGCCTGGCCCCAAGTCTAAAGGCTACTCCCGCAAACCTCGTCCGATCTAAACGCCGTCCCGTCCCACGCCCGTGCGAGCGGTCCGAAGGACTATTCTACGCCCTATGGACGCGGGTTCTCGCCGATGCTCGTCGAGGGCGCTGTCGACGTCGTACCTAGCTAGACACTGTCACGTCTTCACAAGACTTTGAAGGCGCACCGTACTTTCTCCGTGGGCGGCGGGCGTGCGGTGGACCAGAGCAAGCCAGAGCAGCCCGCTGTGCCGTGGCGAGAGCACACGACTCGCACATACATTGGCTGGACGGGGCAACATAAAATGCAGCATGCTCGACGGTGCGTCTCTGCTCGCCGGCCATCGCGGGACCCTGCTTCGTGCGACGATCGCGCCCGAAGGCACGCACGTCCTCGCCCCTTTTATCCGTCTGTGCACGGCGACCTTTCGGTCATCACAGCGCATGGTGCGAGCAGCTTCGCACCGCCGCTCGCATAGTGCATACACGTATGCCGACAGGGCAGGCGCACCGAGGATAACGCGACGGCACCCCCGGCCTGTCGCCATGGCCAACGTGCATGCTTCCCGGGTTCCTCGCGACGTCGACGATCCATGTCTCGTCCAGCACGAGCATGATCGGGATCCGATAGGGGACGCTATGCTGTTGCATTTGCGACGATGTGGCGTCAGGGAGAACTGGCGGAGGGGCGTCCGGAGTTTTTCCGCCTGTGCAACACTTGTGCCAGTACAGAAGGATAGGAGCGTGCTGCGACGCACGGGTGAGCAGACCCTCGCGGGATGCTCGTGGATACCTCTTATTGCGCCATTATTATTCTTCGACAGGGTATGCAGCAATTTGATCGTACGCCCTAGCTCATCCAAACCTGGGCCCCTGTACCTGGCAGGAAGGGCTGTCTCGCATCGACGGAGATATGCATGCTGTACTCGATGTTCTTTGTATGAATCGTCGGAATTATTGCTCTCCTCTGAGCACCTCGCCGCCCGATCCACGTCCCCGTGTGCTACCGTCGGCGTAGCCGAGAGCGGTTCCTGGGCGCGCTAAGCGCATCAATCCCGCCGATCGACGTCTTCCACGGAGATCTTGATTTCCCGACTGAGGTCTAACCTAAAGGGGACGCATACATACATCGACACAAGTGCGTCATACCCTCTGGCGACCAGAGCAGAAATGCAGGGACCATGGCATGAAGACATGGTGGTGTTGTACTAACGTCAGGGCACACATGAGGCACGACAAAAGCCAGGGGTCACTGAACGCAGCAGGGCGTTTGATAATGATTGCCGGAGCAAGCAACCGATACGGCGCATTTGGTGGTACCGGGAGGCTATGTAGAGCAAAACAAAACAAAAAGCGATAATATGCGATAGCATAACGACTGGAAGCGAGAACAGCGATCCAAATGTACAACTTAAGATCCTACATACCCACCGGCCGCGTGCCCTTGGTTTTCGCCAGCTCGTCCAACAACCTCGCCCGTTCGTTCAACAGTGCGAGAGTGTACTCGGTCGTCGGCGCGTTGTGTGGGGTGATAATCCGCCGCGCACCGCTTGCCGAGCGGAGGTGTGGCGTGGTTTGGCTGAACGGGTGAGGCTGAGACGACAACGGAAATAAGCTTGGATACGACTTTGCTCGCGTGCTGGCGGAAGCATGAGCGGCTGCATTGGGCGGTGAGCGCCGTTGATAGTAGAACTGAAGCTCTGAGTTCTCGTTTGCTCTGTCTATCCAACCATCGTAGCGGAATGGAACCGGCGTCCTCGGGGCAGAAAGGAGATCGTCCTCTGCTTTGTCCGCATCCACGGTAGCGCAATGACACATGGATGTCGCGGCGGATACATCCGTCTCGCCATCGAAGAGGAAAGAAGGCTCCTCAATTTCGTGAATACATCGAGGTTGACGCCTTCCAGAGCTCGCCGAAGCTGTGCTGTGGCAAAGTAGGGACGGAGGGACGGACGGGAGAGATGGCAGCTCCGGAAGGGTGTGGGTGATGGACGTAAGCTGCTCAGACGCGACGGACGACATGGTCGTGTCGGAGTCTGCGATGCCGGTATGCACCATACATAGATTGGAGTGCACACAACTGGTCACAGTGGAGTGCGTGGACGGAGATGTCGCGCGCCGACATGCGTGTGGCGGCAGTGATGGAGGTGGATCGTCTTCGGCCTTCGATGGTCCCGCAAGGATACCTTTCCGTCTGCCCAGCCAGCACAACAGCTCTCCGACAAACTCGACCTCTTCTTCCTCTCCGCTGGCTACCCGTCGTGGATCGAGCTCGCTCAGTCCTACGTCCTCCCCGCTCAAGACGTCATTCTCTAGTACTCCGAGGAAGATCTTCATTGCCTGGACCTTGTTCGTGAAGTCATGTGATGCACGAACAGCGGAAGATATTGGTAGACGTGTTTGCATAATGGACTCCAGTATGCCCAGAAGAAGGCCTGGTGTGAGGTCCGATGGGGTTTCGAGCACGAAGGGGAGCGGAATGCTAAGTCTTTCAAGGAGTTCATTGAGGTCGTCGACGAGGTCGGAGTTAGCGTGTGGATTAGTGCGCGAGACATCCATGTTGAATGGGGCAGAGGCCACGATACGCGAAGGGAGCAGTCAAGACGGCTAGGGAGAGCATGCAGACGTCGTGCACGTAAATGGTACGGACACGCTGCTTGCAAGTTCGGCGGTTCGACGCCCGGACCGCTGCTCCGTATATTTGGCTGTATTATGCAAGAGCTTCTGATCCTAACATGAGCAAACACCTTTCACTGGCATACTAGGTGTTGACTGTCACTGGCATCAGTACTCTCATCACCACGCCCTTTTCCACGTAGAAAATGACTAGTACATTTACATATTGTGATACCAACGTCTCAGAAATCCTAGCTCCTCCGCTCCCTATTCAACGACAGCAACCAGAGTGCTCCGTACGCGGCTCCGATGTTTGTCTGGGCCATGATGTTATTCACTCTGTCAGCGTCTCTTAGTATGTTGCGTGAGCTCAGGAGACCACAGATCACTGACCCTTGCTTTCAACAGTCCTTCGGCAGTTCATGCATCGAATGACGGTCCCAGTCCGTCCACAGCCTCCAATATTCGTTCTTTACGTTCGTGAAAGTTGGAGCGATTCCCCGAGACCGCCAGCACTTCCACAGAGCGCGGGGATCATGCTTTGTATCATCCTCTCCTGAAGACCACAAAGGCTCAGGAATCACCTCTTCCCAGTCCTTTCTGGGAATGGAGACGAGGCTGGTAGGCGGCGCCTCGGATCTAAGCGGGTGGCCGCAAAGGGCACGCTCTTCAGCCATGCGGACGTAAACGTCGTCCGAAGTTGAGATTCCCTTCACCTTGATGTTCAACCACTCGAGCATCGGTGCAGGGACACGTAATCCTCCGTCGCCGTCGGTGGAGGAGACTGGCGTCAGCGTCCTCGCCAGGGTATCAAGGCCTTCTTTGGTCCTCCCGTCGTCCTTGTCGTATGTGCTCCTCAGTGTAACAGTCCGCAGGTGAGGAGCGTCTTCCATCAGCGAAGCTGCACAAGCAATGTGGCTAGGATCGGCTACCGACACCCGGAGTGACGTCATGTCGCCCGTCGACAACATGGCGTAGAGATGTGGCACGATGCGGGAGATGGCCCGCCCCGGTTTGTAGTATTTTGTGGTGAGGTGGATCCAGAGCGCAGAATGTGGTCCTTGGGCGATGATGTGGAAGTGGCCCGGGTGCTCTGCGCTAGGTTCCGTTTCATCCATTTCGCCGTACGGCAGCCAGTGGAGTACTTCAAAGTGAGTTAAGCCTTCTATATGCCGCAAGATCGGGGCGAGAGTGACGAAGACAGGAGGTGGCGGGTATTCCGTGGCATCACGATTATGATAGCGATGAAAGTTGTCCTTGCCTGGTGACTGTGAAGCTATATGAAAGCCCCATCGATTACGCAGGTGGAGACGTTGATGCCGACCTCAAGACGATCGCCTTGCCACGTCTGCAAGCGTTGTGTAACGGTGGCGTCACGGATGACGCACCGTCACAGAGAAGTACGGCAGTACCCGGCTTAGTCACCCGAGGTAACGGTGCTTAGTGGCTGTAACGGGCTGGGAAAGTGGGACGGGTAGTCCAACGGTTGTGCGTGGTGCAATTCCCGCACGTTCCATTTTCAGCTAGTCGTTACATTTGGTGGAACGTCAGTGAATGCGTTCGAACCCCGGCTCAACCAATGGCATTTGGTTTCCCCAGGCCTCGATCGAGAGAGGGGGGATGTAACGGTGGCGTCACGGATGACGCACCGTCACAGAGAAGTACGGCAGTACCCGGCTTAGTCACCCGAGGTAACGGTGCTTAGTGGCTGTAACGGGCTGGGAAAGTGGGACGGGTAGTCCAACGGTTGTGCGTGGTGCAATTCCCGCACGTTCCATTTTCAGCTAGTCGTTACACGTTGTGGATCGAGTACGCCCATGTAACCACCGTATTTGCCATCGTGGCGCGCCTCGAGTTTCCTTCCAACATCAACATCCGTCTCTGCAACCTCGTGACCAATTAGACAACAGCCGCAACACTTTGTTGACGGTGAGGGTTCGCGCGCATAACTGTGTGAGACGTAGATGAGTGAGCATCGGAAACGAATTGCCGGGTATGAAGCGGATGTGGGGACCGAGGTGAAGAGCACGTAGTTGGGGAGTCTCCCCATTACAAAGAAGTAACGTCTCGGGATCGACCTCATTCATTCTTCGGCTCCACACGCCCAATGCGCGTATCGTTAAAAGCTCGAGCGTAGGCAGTGGCGGGAGTTGTTTCACAAGACGCAGTATATCGGCGTTCTGTAAGGGAACGGTGAGATGGAGAGCCTGCACGCGTCCCGGATAAGTCTCAATGACGTGGCTTGGGGTTGCGCGCTCTTTCTTACGATACGAGACAGTGGTGTGTACATGGAGGGCCGAAGTACCAGAGCGCTGGAGAATGATGCGAGGATCGACAAGCTGAGTGCGATGGGCGTCCATGATGTGACACCACATACTGGGATCTTCCAACACGATTGTGCGCCAACGGCTGCACACCTTGGTGATCGTGACCGCGCGGTGTATCTGGTTGGATGGGTTTCCAAGGACATCAGTGTTGGGTGCTGCGACAAACCGAAATATACGTCTGAGGATCTCGACGGGAAGCTTGTTGACTGGAAGGAAGTTGTTCTCGTATCTCCTAAATAGACCGGTGAGATGTTGGAGATCACGAGAAATGGCGCAAGCCTGGGGACAGAGCGATGGTCAGAAACTAGAGTGCGACACCGGCAAGGCGGGAGACATGCCTCTCGAGCGCTGTTGAAAGATCGATCAGTCGGTTAAGGAACGTGCTATGGCATATCAAGACAGACCTTATAATACCGAGACGAAGTTCGTCCCTTGAGGCAGCGAAAAGATCGCTCAATGCCTGCGACGTTGCTGAATTTCCCCTCATGTATGGCATGCTGGCTGTAAATCACCAGGGCGAGCGACAATAAACTCGATCACCAGTGAGTGGTAATGGCGAGCCGATTCGGAAACTAGAGTGATCTGCGTCACTGGTGCCTACCCAAGGTTGAGGACTCCGCTGGTGTGAAGACGAGAGCGGAAGTAAGGGAGAGGTGCGAACACAAATGGCCTTGGGCAGGTTTTGAACGGGTGTCTGAGTGTCAATATGAGACAGTGGCGGTGTTACAACATGCCGTGAGGTCAGCGGCACATTGCTAGCTACCGGTTACCAGTGACTGTGGGCCCCTCTTTTTTGTGTTGTGTAAATGAGGTCTCTCTTTGAGTCATCGTACAAATGCGCAGTCGTTGTTACATCCAGCACAGTTCGTGATTTGATAACCCAAGCTGTCAGATCCGCGAGTACTACTTAGGTGCGTCATCACGCGCTTGGGCGTTGCAACGTGGGAATATGGGATCGACGTCTTGAACAGGCGTCGGCGCACGCGCATTCACATGTTTCCTCAACCTCGTTCCCCTGATTTGCCATAAATGTCTACATACTCGTCATGCTCGAGATGAAGCAGTACGACCAGGCGTGATCTGATTTCCGGGTGCTCGCCAGGTCACACCTGGCAAAATCATTCGTGGCCACGCGCGCACATGGACGGCATCAACACCCGTCGCGGTGTTGCATCAAGCGTGGCCGCCTGACCTCTTCCCCGTCTGTCGCCCTCCATGTGCATGTGCTTCGTTGGCGGCTCATGGTAGCATTTGGTCGTTGTCACAGTCAGCCGCGGTTCTTCCGCTACTTCGCTTCAGGAAGCGCCGGAGGATATATACTGAGGGGTTCCAATTGCGACTTCTCGCTGGCCAGGTCCTCTTGCCTCCCGTCTTCAGTGCACAGGCAGCATCGCCGTCACGCCTTGGTTTGATTCCGACCGGCTACGATGCGTTTCTCTCTTCTCACGTCGTTGGCGGCTCTCGCGGTCGGTGCGTATGCCCAATCCTCCTCGGTGGACGCGTACGTCGCGTCCGAGTCCCCTGCGGCCAAGGCGGGGCTTCTCGCCAACATCGGCCCGAGCGGTTCCAAGGCTAGCGGGGCGAAGGTGAGCAGCATGCGGTGACTTGCGAGCTCCGAGCTTCTGTTCCATGCGTGTGTCGTGTAGAGCGCTGACACATGACCGCGTTCGTGCGTCTGTTCCACAGGCGGGTGTGGTCATTGCGAGCCCCAGCACATCAAATCCCAACTACCTGTACACCTGGGTTCGCGACTCGTCTCTGGTATTCAAGACTATCATCGACCAGTTCACCACTGGAGAGGACACGTCCCTTCAGGGTCTGATTGACCAGTTCACCACGGCGGAATCTATCCTACAGCAGACGTCTAATCCATCAGGCTCGGTCAGCACTGGGGGTCTCGGAGAGCCTAAGTTCAACATCGACGAGACTGCATTCACCGGCTCGTGGGGCCGTCCTCAACGTGGTAAGTGCTCGCAAGAGCAACTCGGTCCCAGCGAAGCGCCACGCTCACGATTGGTTACCTGCTCTTAGATGGTCCTGCCCTCCGGTCGACCGCTATCATCACATATGCAAATTGGCTGCTTGCGAACGGAAATGGCACGAGCTACGTCCAGAACACACTGTGGCCGATCATCAAGCTAGACCTCGATTACGTCCAAAACAACTGGAACTCGTCGACGTATGTGTTCGGCATACCAAGTCCTTGCGATGGCAGCTGATTCGCGCCTTGTTCAGTTTTGACCTTTGGGAAGAGATCAACTCGTCATCCTTCTTCACGACTGCGGTACAGCACCGGGCGCTCCGTCAGGGTGCGGCATTTGCCAACGCGGTTGGCCAGTCATCGGTCGCCGATGGCTACACGACTCAGGCAGACAACCTTCTATGCTTCCTTCAGGTCAGTTAGTACATTATATTCGCTCCCAATTTGTCGGGGATTGATATGATCGTTTCAGTCGTACTGGAACCCAAGCGCTGGTTACGTGACTTCGAATACTGGCGGTGGACGGTCTGGCAAGGACTCAAACTCCGTCCTCGCTTCAATTCATACTTTTGACGTCGACGCTGGTTGCGATGCTGCGACCTTCCAGCCGTGCTCAGACAAGGCGCTCTCCAACCTCAAGGTTTACGTCGACTCCTTCCGGTCCGTATACAGCATCAACATTGGCATCGCATCCAATGCTGCTGTTGCCGTGGGTCGCTACCCCGAGGATGTCTACTTCAATGGCAACGTGAGTTCATCATCATCCAATCGCAGCTATTGGTGATTCATCACGCCTTTCGTACCATATCTAGCCCTGGTATCTCTCCGTATTCGCCGTCGCCGAGCAACTGTACGACGCTCTCATTACTTGGGACAAGCAAGGCTCCCTCCAGGTCACCTCGACGTCGCTCGCTTTCTTCCAACAGTTCGACTCCTCGGTCACTACTGGCACCTACGGCTCCTCCTCCTCGACCTATAGTACACTCACTGCTTCCATCAAGAACTTCGCCGAGGGCTTCCTAGCGATCAATGCTAAGTACACACCCTCGAACGGCGGTCTTTCGGAGCAGTTTGACAAGAGCACCGGCTCGCCCCTTTCCGCCGCCGATCTTACTTGGAGCTACGCGTCCGCGCTCACGGCGTTCGCCGCTCGCTCTGGCAAGACGTACGCGAGCTGGGGTGCGTCCGGCTTGACGGTACCCTCGCAGTGCAATGGCAACGCCGGCCCCACTGTTTCCGTCACCTTCAATGTTGACGCGACGACGGTCTTCGGGGAGAACATATACATTACCGGCAGCGTCCCCGCTCTCCAGGATTGGTCGCCCGACACAGCGCTCCTGCTCTCCTCTGCGAACTATCCCACGTGGTCCATCACGGTGACCCTTCCTGCGTCGACCGTCATCGAGTACAAGTATATCCGGAAGAATAACGGCCAGGTCACATGGGAGTCTGACCCTAACAACTCGATCACCACGCCTGCCAGTGGGGCAGTCACTCAGAACGACTCCTGGCGGTGAATGATCCCCATTTTGACCCGAGTCTTCTGCAGCACCGAGGGGGCCGGTGTTACATCGCCCAATGACTTATAAAAGATGGGGTGTGAAGTGGGGCAATGAATTACCATGACTCTTGGCGCAGTTGTCTCTCGGCTCGAGTGCCAGTCACCCCGTTGTACGCTACTAATAAGATAGCCATACGTTTGTATCAATAGACCTACCAACTGGGCACCGATATTATGGACCATAATCATTGCGTCAAAACCAGACCATATGCGCATTGGCTGCGGGCATCGCCGCCGCTTTCTATACTGTGACTCCAGATCTCTATCTGCTCGACACTATCGTGGGCCGTTCGTACGTCACTTCTAGTCATGATCGCAGAACGACAGACGGAGCGCGTAAGTCATAAATCGATTGACTAGGTATGTGACTCTTGCCCTTCGACTGACACACCGGCTGACCTTCAATCGATTCTTTTTTCTCCCTTCAGCTCCCCTGAAAGCCAAGCCAACGTTCGATCTGCTTTGTTATCTCACGACGTCCACCATTATGACGGTGGAAAGCACGTGGATGGACCACCGTGCGTTCGCGAGCTGGGTACCTTGTCCCATCGGTCGATCTTGATGGAGAATGCTTGCGTCTTCATGCTCTCCCGCTATGTTCGGCATTACATGGTGCCAGATTCAGACAGTATGTACCCTCATGTCCTCCATGATACCTGCTTTGTGGCGACGCTGGTGGTGTTCTCACGATGATCATGAAATCGACGAGCAATGACCATCGCCCCTTATCCCCCGGAGTCCCATTGTCCGGTGGCGCGGCATAGCGCCCACCACAAAGCGTCGGGGAGTCCTTAAGTTCGCAAACGTGTGGACGACAATCGTCGGCCCACTTATTGTCGTCGCCCCACCAGGGCAGCTCCTCTGTGGGTCACGCAACTGCTACAATGGTTTACCTTGCGATCGCCATTAAGCCCCAGGGACGACACATTGCTACGTCGTGGCTCTCCTGCACGGCAGCTAAACAAACCCGTACAACTTCGTTACGGTACGTACTTACTATCAGAATCTGTAAGTCAAGTGCTAGCCTTGGTGGTAACCAAAGCATTGGTAGCTGAAAGCGGTTCAGCCCGCAATGATCAAAGCACTCCCGAGGCGTATCCCTGAACACTACGATCCAAGCAGTGGTCCAAAGTCTAACCAAGAATAGTCTACATGCAAACGCACCGTCCGTGCATTACATCCTCGTGCAGCAATGCTCTATCCCTTCGCTCTGAGCCCCCGCCCACAATCCTCATCACCCAGTCGCTCAAAAGTACTTATCCCAGAAGCCCTTCGTGCCATTCGTCGGCGCGGCGTACTCCTCAATGCCGAGCAGCTTCATCATGAGGTTGTACACCTGCACGTTCTCGAACGTCTCCATCACGTACGCGTCGTCCGCGGTCGAGTGCCAGCCCTTATTCGGTCGCGTAAGGTCGCGCCCGAAGAGCGACGCGAGGCGCCGCACGGGGCTGGACGCAGATGATTTCGCGCGGTCAGCCTCGATTGCTTTCACAACAGCGGAGAAGGGCCCATGCGCGACAAACATGGCGTGCATCTCCTTGTATTGGTTATCGTAGCCGTGACTCTGCGCATTGGCGTTAGCCAACGGACGTAAGATTGACCGTACGAGATCACCTACCCCCTTGTTCATACCCGAGCCGTTCTCGATGCGGTTCGTCAGGGCATATTCTATCCGTGGTACGATGTATATGGGCGCGATGCGCTCGTTGTTCGTGAAGTGCCAGCGCTTCGGCATCGTTTCGTGCGTGTACACATCAAACTTGCCGTCGCTGAGCTGCGACGCGTTCAGGAGCACGCGGAGGTATTTGTCTGCGTTCTCGGGCGTATCGAAGCGCAAGCCCATTGCCGGCCAGCCGTCCTCGTGCTTAATGTGCTTGTAGCCGTCACCGAGAATGTCGTCGATGAAGACAAGCTCGGGATGGCTCGTGTCCGTCATACCGTGGTCGCTCACGAAGACGATGTCGACGATATCGGTCAGGTTGCGTGCCTCGATCTCGTCGTGGAGGTCGCGTGCGAAGACGTCCACTTGTTTCAAGACTTGCTACGGATGTGGACGGCTGTGAGTGCTTATATCGAGGGCAGGGATGGAAGAATAACTAACATCGACAACCTTGGATGTTGGCCCATACTTGTGACCGGCCTGGTCGAGAGAAGGCTCGTATGCTGTAGACGTCAGAAAGATACTCAACTGCTCGAAATACTGGTCAGGCGTACCCATAATGAACTGAGGACGAGTATCGACTGGCAGGTCGATCCAACTCAGGATCTGGCTGAGCTTGTGTTTCAAGGGTACGTGATCCTGGTCGGCGTACATCGTCAGTAGTAGACGGCACACTCAACGACCGAATGAACATACCTTCCAAGGTACGAAGTATGTCGGTGAAGCGCCGCTAGTGGTCTTTGGCGGTCCTGGCCTATGGAAAGAATCAGAAGAGCCTGGTAAACATTCTGCCATTGAACACACCACATGAGATTTGCCGTCCTTACGCCAGCCTTCTCTGCTGTCTCCCACATCTGCGCGCAAAGACTTATGAGCACATGGTCCGCCTTGATACAAGCGGCCACGATGTACCGGTTCGCCGTGCCACCAATCCGCGATCCATGCAGACTCAATACGATTGTAGTGGAACTGACGATCTGTCGCTGGATCCCAAAAATCCTAATAGCCGAGATAAGACCGCGTTAACACATAATCGGGATATGACGTACGTTTGCTACTATCCCATGGGACTCCGCATATAGTCCAGTCCTAGCGCGATTTCAGGACAGCTGCACACCACTTCGCCATGAACACTCACATCAAAGCCCAATGATTACTTCGTAGTCGCGGTGGTGAGCTTCGTCTATGATGAGATACCGTGGGTATGACAACTCACGGAAAAGTAAGGGTCTACAATCAAGTTCAAGTGAGCATAGATCCTATGCACCGCACAAAGAGCGGCAAACATACCGGGAAAACAGGCTGCATAGACTTCGCACGAAGCCCGTCCTTGCTGATAGCCAGCAAGTGAGGCGTCAAATTACGGTCGAGGTAGTCCGCCCTATAGCCCAGCGTTCACAACGCCGCTTCAAACACGATAGCACCCTGGCTGACGCACCGTAGGCCGTCAATGGATACGATAATCGCCGTCTTCTTGAAGTCATGCGTTCCATTGCTGAGTAGGCCCTGCGTGTTCAACTGGGGTTTCGTGTCGCTCGCCCGGGGGCCAGATAAGAAGTTTCGTAACGGAATGGCGATGGAGAGCAAGAGCAGAGAGAAGAACAGCACACTAAACACGACGCATTTCCTGGACCTGCTCGGAGGCGGAAGTTCTGCGGTCTCTTCCTCATCATATTGTGCATCATCGAGTCGTCGCTGCTCAGATGATATCAACGTCTTGCGCTCTTCATCGTCTAACGAATGACGCGGGGAATCCGAAGCGGACGCGAGCTTGAAGTACTCCGGTTTCATAGCGACAAGGCTGCCCAGCGAGAGTCTCCTAGAAGCCGACCGAAGAGAATAGCTGAACAGAGGCCCGCCTGCAGGTACGCTCGTACGTTCGAGATGGAATGAGGAGGGACAGCTGATGTTGAGTGGCTGGAACGTGCAGCAGTGACTCCGAGGATGCTATCCGTCCCGAGAGGATTACGTAATACAACCTCCGCGGTCATTCCTTTTATGGGACCCACTACCAACCGCCAAGAGGCGTAACATTGCTTCCATTGCCAGATTGCTCAGCCACTGCGTCACGGCTAGCTATTGGCACGCCAATAAGTCATAACTGTAAGTGCAGATGGGGATACTCTCATTGTACGACATTGTAATATCAGGCGGAACGGTATTCGTAGCCACCGATTACAATCGTGTGGGATGAGGATGTCTTTGCATCGCATCAAAATAGGACCTTCTCAGGCAATGCAGCTCGACTTTGATCACAGACTCGGGTCGACAATTTTCAGGCACCAAGGCTTGTAGATTGGACGTCCATATAGGAACGGGGTAATATCGTGGGTACGCCTTTTGTAAAGCTATGGACTCAATCTCAGAAAGACAAGCCACGAGATGAAAGTTGAGGGCGAGCTTGTGGTACACGCAATGCAAATAATCAGCCAAGACACGCAGCGCCACCGGGAATAAGATGTATACAAGTTGATATGGATTGTCCATACGACACATAGCTCAGAGCAAACTGACTGGCTCCCAAGATCAACAGATTTACCCCCAGCGTTACAGAAGCGATTATGCCAAGGAAACAGAAGTTGAGTTACGCGCGCAAGGGTGAAGAATCGCCTCGAGAACCCAGGGAAGAGAAATTGCCCATTCAACACAAGACCTCCACCTCGTCGCCCTCGCCCTCGTCTTCGTCCACGAATGCGCTACTGCGGGATACTCCGTGAATGGGTGCCCTCGAACGCCTTCAGGCTCCGTACCTCCAACCAATAACACGTCGCCCTCGGTAAAGTCTGCGTTCTCTGCAGCAAACAGCGCAGAACACGACTGTACCGGATTGTGCAGATCTTCGGGGAGTGATGGGTGCAGGAGCGAGGGGTCATCTGGAGTTTAGGGAAGGTAGCATAGTGACGGTGTAGATGGATTGGAATGGATGGCCAACATATTGCCAGTAGCTGTCCCTGCGAGCATGATAAACTCAGACTAGCTCAGGAAAGACCTTAGCAACAGGCGGATGCCGTCAGTGGAGGTGGCGACTGAGACTGGCACTGCAGCTGCACTAGGAAGGCGTGATCGGTTACACACTCCGTGGGTTGCTGGTCGCTACAGCCATAGTCAATGCCTCGGTCTTTGACGTCGATCGATTGCCCGCAGGCGCTCTTCGGAGGTGAAGTGTATGCTGGCGGTGGTGTGGGCGGTGCCTGGAATAAAATTGTCACAACGAAGGGAGAGACAGCCATCACGCGAAGCCTACCTCCTTCAGAGGTGCAGGAAGTAGCTCCTCCATCTATGGCTGATCAGCGTATGTCAAACGATCAAAAGGTAGGACGAACCAGAAAAACTTCCTCAAGGGGAGCTGGGCCAACTTCCTCCATAATTCCTATAGCTTTGCGTTTGACTGCAAGCCGTTCGGAGACCTGAAGCCTTTTCTTCCAAACCCGGTATGCCTGCGGTTACAAAGTTCAGATGCTCGTGTAAATGAAAGGATTGTAGTACGCACCTGCACGACAGCGCGAGTAACAGGGCGACGCCAATTGTGAGCTTGCTGCACGTAACCGTCCCTGAGTATCCGGATGATGTCGAGCTTGCCGATGGCCGCTTCCATCGCGTGCATGCCTGCATCTACCCAATAAGTTGTCGCCTTGTTGCTGGGGGACGGGGTAGCAGATTGGATGCGGGACGGGAGGGAGCTTGTAGGAACTCTGTCTCCTATGAGGAGCACAGGGGAGATAGCGCCGATCATCTCGACAGCGACGATACGGATGGGCGAGCCGGGCAAGTTATCGTCCCCGCGTAATAAGCAAGTCGGCTTCCATGGCGGTCTGGGAGGTGCTATGACAATATTGAGTACTGTCGGACGCGCCCAGCCACTGCAAGATCGATCTTGTTAGCCACCATGACCTCGACGTCGCTGACAGGGCCACTGTTCGGGTCGCAGACTTTGGTCATATCGGAAGGACGGGGGCTCGTTGCAAGGTTGTGCGCGACTGCCTTGACTTGAATCTTGAGGGAGACGATGAGCGACCGTCGTTGCGGTGTCACGTAATACTTCCTAATCGGTCATGCCACAACGTGGCGACGTAGGGGATGCAGAACCGAAGGATATGCAAGGTCTTCATGCGGAGATGCATACATGGTAGCTCATGGAGCTGTGACCGAGACTTCTCATTAAGGAGGGTTTGATCAGCATATCGATGAGCCAAGGCTTTAGAGGCGGGCTCCTAGCGAAGCGCGTCGGGACGTCTGAGCTGGAGAGCATACGTCGAAGGTTTGCCAACCGACTGGATCAGGTCTAGATGCGAAACGTTCGCAAGTAGAAGGACCGTCACCTTCGACCTGTGTGCGGGCAGTAACACAGTGACTCCAAGTTCAAGTTTGTGGCACTTGCGCGCGATGTGTGTCGTTATGGGTGACCAGGAGACGTGCTGGCTGCATGGGGCATGATGCATGACTTGCCACAAACAAGTATTTCCCGCGCATCTGCTCGCCGCCAGCGCTTGTCCCTGTACCATGCATCTGCGGATCTGCGTGACTTACCAAGTCTGCGCAGGCTGCGCCCGCACACGAACTCCTCGGACCTCGACTCGTCCTGCATGTTGTACGCGTTTCAAGGGGCTATTTCCCAGCTCTGTCATTGTGCATGCGACGCATCAGCATGTTGACGGAGGGCTATCATGCTTATCTATATTCACACTCGGCAGAAGCTCGTCTAGAGAACCCGGCAGGCCCGCCTGATGGACTGTCCACGGGTCCAATTTGAGGCGTTGTACCAGCCTATCCCCTCACTCGTCCTCGTTCGAGTCGACCACAACCACGACACCGTTGGACCTTCGCGGCGTGCAGTTGGTGAAAGGGTATCACGGCTAGAGTCCCACTACTCACGAGACCTGCGAAGTCCACCGTCTCCTCATTTCGCTCCACCTTTGGTCTTGCATCCCGGATCTTGTGCTGCACCTCCATTCAAATAGGTTCCGCTGCACACCGTCGTGTCTATGTTCCCAACTGCCATGCACGCAATGTTCTTCCTGCTAGCACTGGCTGTCACGACTCTAGCCAAGCCGCTCGCATTCAACCCTCGTGATGCGATTTCCCCGCCCATCACGAACCCTACGGCTCAGACCGTGTGGAAGGCAGGAGACACGCAGACGGTGACTTGGTGAGTCCCACATACATAACACAAGTAGCGAGGCCAGGCGTTCAACTAAGCGTTGAACCTGTTAGGGATCTGTCAGGGTTGAACGGTGCTCAGCCGTCTAACCCTCAGGCTCAGATCATCCTCGGCACGTTCACCAACGGGGAGGAGCACCTGCTGCTCGGTGAGGTTTCCCACTAATCATCTGCCACGTCCACGTCCCTTACAGTATGAACTCGTTGCTGCAGACACTGTGCTCGCGTCAGGCTTCAACATTCTTGACGGGAACGTCACTCTGACCGTCCCGACAGTTACGACGGGCAGCGACTACATCGTCTGTTGTACGTATACTATATCACTGCACGTCCTTCATGCACGCTAAGAGCCCTCCCTCTTCAGTGTTTGGCTCATCTGGCGACATCAGCCCCCCGTTCACGATCGTCGGCACCGACGCATCCTCCTCGTCATTCGCCCCTACTACGCAAGCGGACGCAGCGTCGAGCTCCAGGAGGTTCCCACCGCACCAGACCACTCACCCCACGACGTCCGTCAGTCTGCCGCCGACCGTCATCCAGACCACAATCCCATCAAGTGCTTCGAGTCCGCTCACGACGTGGTCATCGACTTCTATCTTCTTTCCCTCGGGCACACCGTCGTCCGCGGTATCTGGCAGCACTCAGCCCACTGCGACCGCGACCTCCCCTAGCAACTCAACGACGGGGACGAGTGCATCTTCGACGAGCACCATCACTGGCGCTGTTGGCACTGGAAACTCCGGTGCGCGGACGACCGTGGCGGGATTGCATCTATGGAGCGCCATCGTTGGCACATTAGCTTTCTGGGTTCTGCTGTGAGATCTGTCAGGATTGCCGGTGACTGACCCGTACGAACATTTTAATGCCCCAGATGCTCTGTACCATAGCTTGTATACCTACCAATGCGATAACGCCGCCTCACGTCTACCCACCTCACCTCCACCGCGTTGCCGCCCTATCGTCTGATGACCCATATCACATGCACGCGCGCAGACCGACGCAGCAGACTTCGAATGCAAAAAATGATACAATTGCAGGTCCATATGCAACAATGCCAGTACTAGATGCGGGCGACCGACAGAACGCACGACCACAAACCCAAGCGAATCCGTGTGTCGCCAGCCGCTGGGTATAGGAATACCATCTTTATCTTTGCCACCAATCTGCCGAACGCGAACACCGACACACAACGCGCAGGAGTCGTCACGCTTCTAAAGAAGCTGTAACACGCCACTATCGAGCGCCCACAACCCACAACCCAACGACAAGACATGTAGCTGTTAATCCTCCTCTTTGCCCTTCATTGCCGACCGCCCGCGCCGTCGCGGACGAGCCGGTGGCGCTACGCGCTCTTCAACGAACGAACGTCTTCGCCGCCTCGACAGGGCCGTGAACCTGCAGGAGCGGGCTTGTTGACCACAGGTCGAAAGGGTCGCTTGCCGAAATCACCAATCGTCGCGCCAACTATCGCAGTCCGAGCCGGGACAGCGCTTCTTGTACACGGGCTTCGAACGACATGGTCGGGTGGCTGAGGCGTGCCAGGTCAAGAGCCTTCTTGAATGCTTCCGTGCCGAATCGTTGAGCGGCCGGTATTGACGAGCACAAGTATTGCGCTGTGTCCTCGTCTACAAGCGCAAGAAGTGCGCCGATGAAAAGGATAGACGCAGAGAGTATGAGATAAACAAGTGATGAAGAGGTTAGCGACGAGGCATCAGGCAAACAGGGACATACCACTAGGCTCCACCGCGCATAGCCGGGAGAGGTGAACGTTCTCGCAATCCTTGTCTCTACATTCTCCACCTATGTCATATTGGCAGACTCGGCCCTGATTATCTGACAGAAACTTTAGAACCGAGGCTTGCTTGAGCGGTTTCAGATCAATGTTAGCGGAGGTCGCGCTGGAAGATAATCCAGCGAAAGCTGCAGGAGGAGGCATAGGCACGAGAGAACCGGAGTCTTGCAGAGGGGCACGCAGGAGAGGATGGCGATCTAACAGCGAATGATAAGTCTCAAAAGATGTGGACGATTCGGTAGATTGCTGGTGCTCGGCAGTTGCGATGACCTCGATCTGTAGCAGAAGTAGTCAGCAGCAGTCGACCGACGGTTGTTTCCTACGCGAGGATACCGCAAATGAATACGTACCTGAGCCGACGTCTCTGGACGGATGCCAACGACGTCGACTTCTGCGCTATCACTTTGTTCGACAGATTCCTCAGAGTCGATAACCTGTGAAGGAAAGAAAGAAAAGGGCAGACAAGACAGAGATAGGTAGAAAGATGACAAGGGCAAGTAACAAAGATAAAAATGGGAGTACAAAAGAGAGTACCCAGAGAAGACAAGAGTTTAGCATGGATTCGGATAGCCGCTAGAGGCGCGGCATAAAAAGAAAAGATCCTTGCCGCTTGTTCTTGTCGTGCTTCAGCTGTCAAAACTAGGGACCGCATCACCACACGACCATCGAAAACAAGTACGATGACGTCACCACGCATGCCACCCAACATTACGAGCACGCAAAAACCCCAGAATCGTCGGAATTGGAAAACGAAGATTGAGAGGAAGCAGGGATAGGGATGAACGATGAGGATGAAGTACTGCAGGAGAACTCGTATTGTCCAAGGACTTGCCTTCGTCGCCTGTGACTGCATGTTCTAGCGCCTTGACCTCTGTAATGAAAAGGCGTCAGAGGATAGTAGCACGGATGTTGCATAGCGATGAGAACCTATCGGTGTTGTTGGGCTAGTTGGCGACTCCGAGTCTGGTAGAGATACAGTCCCGTCCCCGTTGGTCCCTGGGAACAATAAGCAGGAAGATCAGGCGATATATGGTGGGGCAGACTGACCTCGATAGACAAGACTGCTCAGAACTGTACGCTCATCTCGACTCTCGCTCAGTCGTCCACTGGAGACTTCCGGCGTCGACGACGAACTACTTCGGGAAAGATGTAACGATCGTGCGGAAACCGCGTCATCTTCCTCTTGCTTGACAGTAGCTGAGCCGTTGGTCTGCGTGTTCGACGATAGAGCAGTACCGCGCGACGCCTATGAAGCAGTCAGCTGGCATCCGTATGTGCAATGGCAGGTGCAAACAAACCAGTGCGATTTTCTTTAACCGATTTTGCTCACGCTGGGCAATAAGCTCCCGCATTCTCCGGATCTGCTCCTCTTTCTCCAACAATGCCGCAGGGTTAATCAGAGGAGTAACCGGAGAATCAACACACGGTGTCGGGGCGACGGACGCCTCAGGGGTGCTCGCGATTGGTCCACGAGAGTCCGTCCTGGACGACACAACACTGATCAAAAGAGTTGCCTCTTCCTGCTCGTCTTCAGTGTCACTGAGGTCGATGACACATCGTCGTTGAGTGAGACCTGCAAAGCCGGTCGTCCTTCTTCGAACTGGTGGCCGGTAGTTGTCGGTTCGCACCCCTGAGCGAGAGGAACCGGGCTCCAAGTCGACGAAGTCGGCGGCGACAGGCCGCTTGGTCCCCCGGCGGACGCTTGTGGACTGCGCATCCTCCCATGCCAGACGTGATTGGGACGGGCCAGGAACAACACCCATGTCATCGTCATTACCGTACGACAGGTCTCCATTACCGATAGCGGAGGTAGACGGGGGCGCGGCCAAGGAGCGATTTGATGTTGACGAGGTCGCGGACGGAGGCATCCTCTCTCCGATGCCGGATACCTTTGCTGACAGAGCAGACGGCACAGGGCGGGGAAGCGGCGTATAATCCGTCGTCGGCCCTCCGGATAGCCCAGGTACTTCATCGACATTCATACGGTCCATGTAAACAGCGCGAGAAGACCGCATGGAAGCCGAAGCCGTACTCGTCGAAGTCGTCGCACCTGTGGTCGAGGTCGAGGGAGCCGCAGGTTCAATGCTCTTCAAGAAGTCGTCCACTGTCTTGGTGGGAACGATGTCGATGGTAGAACTAGTAGAAGCCACAGGGCTGGTAGAAGGCAGCGAGACAGATGATGACTTCTGTGGCCTGAGCTTCCGCGAGGCCAGAACGGCCTTGCGGGCAAGCAGCTCCGCTTTGCGTTGTTGCTCCATATCCGAGAGACTGGGAGACAGTGCAGCGGACTCGTTGGCATTGCTCGTACTGGGTACAAAAGGCGCCGCAGCAGCTGAGAGAGATGACACCGGCTCGGTCTGTTGAGGCCTTGGAGGAGCGCTTGGGGATGTCGGAGCAGTTGAAGGAGTATACGGCAGGAGGCCTGTGACATCTAGGTTGGTCGGGAGCCGAAGGTTGAGTTCAACGAAAACGTAGAAGATGATTTCTCGGCTTAGACCGCAGTCTACGAGATACTCCGGACGCACGCCCCAGCCAAGCAGATCTAAGACAATGTCTTTCGCTGCGTCGAACTGCGCTTGAGTCACTACGGGAGACACGCAACTTGTCAGCTCGGGTAGTGTAGATTACATCGACACGGGGGCTTACAGGCTAATCCTGGCCGGACATGGTTCTCATCGACATGGGCTGATGCCAAGGCGGGAACCAGGGCGGGAGAAGCAAACACAGATGGACGAGAAGGAACAGAACTGAGCGTGGGCGATATAGGTTCAACTTTGGGTTTCTGTGGCGGAGTTTGCGTGGCTGCCTTCCCCTGCTCTACGACTTTGTTGAAGGTCAGGTCAGGCTTGAGTTTGGGCGTAGGCGGGGCCATCTCAGAGTCGCTGATCTCGCCCTCCTCCCGTGCTTGACTATCATCAACGTCCATTGATTCGGAGGGTGCAGCCACAGTCTTTGCTGGTTGCACGGTCGCCCCAGAGACTTCGGAGGAAGCTGTTCCTGATGGCTCTTCAGAGCCGTAGTCGAGCTCGATCGATGGCGGCGCAGCGAGAGATCGTGCAATATGAGGTGCAGTGGTAGTTGCGGTAAGCTTACGTCTCTTAGACTTCAGCGTGAGCAGTGCTGCTGTTCGAAGCGAGGCAGCGGGGTCTTCGGCGGGAGGGTGTGTACCCGGTAGGTTGGGGACTGCCTCTGTGGTCTGATCTACGAGATGTGAGCCAGACATATTAAAGTGACAGCGTTCGACGCCACGGTAACCAAGAAAGAGGAAGAGTCAGAGACGAGGAAGTGAACGAGGAGCGGCGGGCGATGTGCAGTAGATAAGTTCCAAGAACGGCACGTATCGGCGCCAAGAGCCTCACGCACAGACCACCCCACCTGGCGTCTAAGTTCCTTTCCGTTCAGTACGCCTCGGGCCACGCTTTACGGGGCATCGAATCGTGTGTACCTAGTCCTAGATCTCTCATCACTGAACAATAAACTTCGTACTACGACATCCGTGGTCACTTGGATATGTGTGCGCCCACAATACGAAGCGTCTAAGAGACGGAGCACACCAAGTACATAGGTTCATTCATCCTGGGCCTGGTCATGCTAGTTTTAGTCCCAGATAGGACCGCGACGAGAAATAATATCAATGTAGTCGATCCACTGCCTTGATTACCAGTGGCAGAATGCCTAATTACTTATATTTAAGAACACAAAACGACATCCATGAATCCACTCACCTCCTGTCGGCAGTGGGTATCGGGGGCGCCCCATGGTCGACAGAAAACCATTGACGATCCCGCTATGCGCAGATATGCAAATGTCTGGTTGGAAAGTGTCAGCATCCCGCCAAAGAGCATTCGATCTAGGTCTTGTGCTCACAGGTCTCGTTGTCAGTGCTGAAGATCCGGTCCAAGACGATGTGCGCGCGCTGTGCGACATGTTCCTTTGTCTCTCGCTTATCCGCTTGCCAGATCGTATCTTCCTCCTTAAATCCTTCCTCAAACTCGTAAACCGGAGGTGGGAACCTCTGCGCTATGGCGCTCCTTGTCGAGCGGAGGTCGCACGTATGCTCACCGTACTCCTCACGCAGATTCTATGTACACAGGACGCGGACTGAGTAAAGATCATCAACCTTCGCAAGGGGGCAGCTGACCTCAAGGATGGTGATATGAAGCGGCCTCCCTTCAAGGAAGTCTGCGTCCACGAATGTGTCGTGGAATGTACGCAGTGCCCGCTGGAAGGGGCTTCCATAGTGCCTCTCAGGCAAAGGAATGCCGTGAGCCCTTTCCTTCTTCCACGCCTGGCGCGCCGCCTTGGCTTGTTGGATACCGACATCAGTCAACTCCGGATCAGGACCCCAAGTCATCTCGCCGTCTCCGTTCAGTTTAGACCAATACCTGTTAGCAGTGGCTCAATAACCCATCCGCCACCGCGCCACATATGGAAAGCAGGCGTACTCATCCCAAAGCTAGAAAACTTGCAGAGTCGGTTGCAGCCTTAGTACGAGAATTCTCCCTCACCTTCGTACCATACTTTGCTTCCGCGACGTTGTCTGCACCCTAGATGAGCAGTGACATGCGCGAAGAGCTCGGGTACCACTCACGAACGCCTTGCCCGTGGCGAGAGAAGTAGAACACCTTGTATCTAGTGCCAGATGGGGCATCTGCATTCAGTGTATCGATGCGTGCCTGAAATGTCTTCCACCGTTGTGGCGAGTCGTCCAGCAATCCAAATCGTGGCGGAAGCTAGTACAGAGTCACGAAACGTCCAGAGCAAGAGTACGACGACGTGGCTTACTGCTCCAATGGCTGCACCGTCCGCTGCTGGATCATCCTGTGAGAAGAACCCAGTCGCGATCTTGCCAGGTTGAGCCTCGGTCAGACTTCCTATATATTCCTTCTGCTCTAATACACACCGAGTAGTCTCTTTGGGGGTGCTCCATGGGTATCCTGGTCCTGGACGATGCTGGATGGAGGAGATAGACGAAGAAACCAAAACTGAGAAACCCGATGCACCGTAACCTGTTTCTACTGAAAATGTCGATGATCGTAGTCCACATCAGAGGTGTCCTGAAAGCTGTAACTTATAAGCCTGTAACGACTCTGGTGAGGAGTCAAGCGCGCAAGCCGCGGCGGCACCTCTTGCGCGTGTCGAGACTGCGGCGTTGTGAACCCGCCCTGATCCATCAAGTCTTCACTGCGCTATACGTAGACGAAAACTCGTATTAACATCTTCGCACGCACGCGATGGGCACTAGAGAAACAAAACTCTAATTGTGGCGCCTGCCCCAGGCGGGCGGAGGCCATATATATAGCACAGGCGTGTAGGTTACCAGGAGTCCAAGCTAATACTACAAATGACGAAGATACAGCGATAACAATACACTCGGCCTGCCTAGGGGGAGTACTAGCGTCCTCAACACGTTTTGGCTAAGGACGACATTGTTTTTGGTTGGCGAAGAGATACAAGTTACGAATCAGGGAGCGCGTAGGCACCCCAACCCCGGTTCCGCTCGAGGGATTGGGTATGGGCGTGGATGGAGGCAAAGAGTGGGCAAAGGAACGGTGCGTCGCACACGACGCGACGCGTTGGCGGCAAAGGAGGAGGATCAACTAACGTCAAGTTAGTTGAAGTCCCACGAGACGGTGAGGACGCCAGTGTCGAGAGAGCCGAGCTCTTGGAAGAGCGAAGGGCTCATGTCTGCAAAGGCACGCAAGGTGAGCACTGAGAAGAAGGATAGGCTGGAAAGAGCAGCGTACCGATGTCGTTAGCGCCGCAGCCCGGGCATTCGTCACGGACAATGGCAGTCGCGGTCTTGCCATTCGCGGTGTTGGTGATTGTGACACCCTACGAGATGGATTAGCGCATTAGCGGAAGCGGAAGCGGGAGGTGAGGCAGACAGGCGAGTACGAACCTTGTTACAGTAGCCGCCATTACCGTAGATGTCGGCCGAGATGGCGATAATCTTGTCGCTATTGACATTGGTCTCGCCGCAGGCACCAAGGCCAACGTCGAACCATGTTCCACGACCGATGCGGGAACGCTTCGCGACGGAAGCAGTACCCTCAGAGGTGGGAGCAGCGAAGGCAGTCGCGGAGAGGGCGAGGAAGAAAGCGATGGCGGTGAAGGGCGACATGTCTAGTAGATGGATAGGCGGAAGCGAGTGACAGTGAGGAATAGCGATTAGGCGACCGAGAACTATGTCCGACAAGAAGGCACGAACCGAATGGCACCGTTGAACCACCTTGCCTCCAAGTTCGCTGGGTTTTTATACTCGATCCAGGCCCTGCATAACGCCTCGACGTTGTAGCCGCCGCAACACATTTTGCGCGGCAGGATAGCAGTCCATGATGGGGGTCTAGAGCCGTCGTGCAAAATGCAAAAGCTCTTGTGGTAACGGCAAACCACGGAGCCGTAGATTCGACGTGGTCGACAATTTGGGGTGCATGACGGAGATAAAAAATTCGACCGAGTAGTGGCTACCGAGCTCCAACTGCAGCACCCTGTCGGGAGCGAGCGGGGGTCCCAAACCTCGAAGTGGTGAAGCTGGGTAGCGTTTTGCCGGAAGTTACTATGGGTGCCAGTGGACCTTCACAGTCATGTGCAGTCAGTCCGCAGGCAGCATCCGCAGGCTAAGACAGCCCCTATCAAACGACATACCGAACGAGGTGGGGTATATCCAGTGAACTTCGTGTAATGAGCATCGCTATACTTGGTGCGAAAGCATCGAGCAGAATCTCTCGCCCTATCGAATCATTCTGCTCCCCTGACGTATGCATACGTCAGTGACACAAAGTGGGGTACAAACGAGAGAAACGTCTCACATAGAGGCTGTCAGAGGCCCAGAAGCCCGCAGGAACCAGCAAGAATGGTTAATTCGTCCGAACATGTGGAGAGTAACCCACTTCGCAGATTTGCCTTATACTCCTGGCCCGCACACTGTTCAGACTTCTCGACGAGGGTTCTTGAGATGTTCTTGTCAGAGCGTCGCACCTCAGAATCTCCGTTCCTGCTCGCGGCAGTTTGATCGCCACCGATGAAGGCAAATTGTCTTTATGTAAACCAGGGCACCGACAACGATCTGTCAAGGATTCTCGGGGTGCTGGGAGTAAGCGCTGAGCTGTCGCTAGAACCTTTGTTGAGGAAACGGCGGGCGTCGAGCGGGGCGGGGGGATCAAACATAAAGCTTTAAAGGGTCAAGATAGGTGAGTCCCTCCACATGAGTTCTCCACGATCCATTGCGAGGTTCGAATGGTCTGGCCTTAACATTCTGAGAGCCTCAAACGGGGCCAACGTCACTCGGACATACCTCTGCTGGCATCCGCCAAGACATTGCTGGTGTATGTACGTATTGACGAACATTCCACGTCCGATCAGCAACAATACCGAAGAGTTGGTTCCTGTGCCGCGCCAGGAAAGCATAACTCCATGAGTTGCTACTCGGCATTATCGAGACCGTATATTGCAATTCTGCGAGAGTAGCAGATACAGAGGAAGAAAACGATGGAGTCTCGAGCACCGAGTTGCCGCTGTCGCGTTGAAGCGCGCGTACTCGCAACACTGCCACAGGGCGTCTGTCCGATTTCCTCCGCATGGCCGAGACTTGCCTCATGAACGAGAGCACTCTCCCCTATCCTCGCGACATTTCATTCAAAACCTAGACTTTGATCTCCAAAGCCACTCTATCCGACTGCTTGCGCAGATTAGGGCATGCTAGGGTGCCCGATGTGCCCGATATGAAGTAGTTGAACAGTAGCTTCCAGGACCTTCGAGAAACTACGATGGTCCTGAGTCCTGCAGCGGTAATACATGTACATCCCTTGACAGGCTCTATATGGCACTGCACTGCAGCATCCGACTACACCTCCACTCCATTTACCCCCACCTCGTACACGACTGACAAATTATGCCTTTGAACTATTCTAAATGGGACAACCTAGAGGTACGTTGAGTAGTCTTGCTTCGCGTCTTCAGCGCCGACGCCGTTCGCTGGATGACAGCTTTCGGATGATTCCGACATCGAGGGCCATCCGAATGTAGATCATCGTTCGCTCGTCCGGTACGCTCTCATCAGTTCTCGTTTCGACAAGGTTGACTGATCAGATCGTGTAGATGGAAGCAACGCGCCATTCACGAGCAGCGCGAAGAGCGCAAGCTCCGCATCGCCCAGCTGAAGGCCGACATCGGAGTCAATGAAGTCCTCAGGCCCCGCCTTGCCGCTATCGCCCAGGATGTTGACTCGCAAGGTCCCCCGCACTTCTCATCGCTCGTCGAACGGTTCAGGACGAATCCTGCTCCCGAAAAGCCACCAACGAATGCTCCGGACCAGAAGACGTATGACGAAATGCTGCTGGCGCTGATGCTGCAGGTGTGGGAGGAGGCGAAGAAGAAGGGCGTGGGGAAAGACGATCCGAAGCTTGGGGAGGCGTTGGTTGAGGGTTTGAAGACGCACCTCGTGAGGATCGATGAGCACCAGGAGAAGTTGCGGAAGGAGCTTGCGAAGGAGGAGGCGGAGATGCACAAGAAGATTACGTCTGAGGATATTCATGAAGGATTCGACTCAAAGGTGAGTGTTATTTCCACTGAAACATTGCCTCGTCTGTGGCGTATGCGCCCAAGGTAGCCATCCATTGGTGTGATGCCGACACAACAACAGTATCTGTGCGATGTGGCGAGCTATGCTATTAGGACATGTGCGCACATCTAGAGCTGCGGTATGCGATCACTCTAGGCTTCAGACCACAAATAAGCAGAGGCACGCCGAGACTGCGTGACAGGAGAGGAAGCGTTTTCTCGACCAGGTTCCTGTTGTGAAGTAGACTAGTACTAATATCATAATCGCATGCAGTACGTGCCGCCAAAGCCAGCGCCGCCCCCTGTCAAGAACGCTATCCAAGACAAGCCAAAGAACACGGTGACGGAGTTCGAGACTCTCAATCCCAAGGGCGTCGCCAGTGCACCCAGCACCAGCTCATCCGGGGCATCATCATCAAAAGCCCCCGCAAGAGACGACGACGCCGATGCCGACGAACTGCCCGAGCTCACACCTTCTCTCGAGGGGTTCTCGCGCATCCCTGTCCGCGCGTACGAGCAGTCATGGGAATTCATTAAAGCGCACCGTGACGTCTACGTCCCCGGCGCGTCCGATGCACTTCTCGTCGCGGCGTTCCGCGCGCAGAGCGACGGGAACCCGAAGTGGGCACTTCAGTGCGTGCACCAAAGCCTGCTGCTCCAGTACTGCGAGAAGCTCGGCAAGGATGGCCCTTCTATGTTCTTCCGGAAGTACGTGCATCATCTCTCGTGTATTCCTTTGTGACAACCAAGCTTACACGTCTGCCGCCACACAGGATGACCTCGGGTGACCCCCGGGCGACGGCGGTATTCGAGAAGGACGTCCAGGACACGTACGCGCACCTCGTCGAGCGGGTGCGGATATCCAAGGCGGAGGAGGCCGCTGCCGCAAGCGGCGAGCAGATCCAGCTCGTCCCCGAGAACCCGGACACGCAGATCGGGTTCAACGTCCCGGACGGGCCGCCCCCCGAGCACCTCGAGCTAGAAGGGCCCGGGTTCGAGAACGTGAGCGTCGAGGACGTGAGGAAGGCGCTGCAGATGCAGTGGGACGTGTTCTCAGCCTTCGACGAGCGTCTGCAGAAGGCGCTGCGGAGTCAGAGCCTGGACGAGGTGAACAAGGTGCTGGGTTCGATGAAGGTCGAGGACGCGGAGGAGGTCGTGCGGCTTCTCGACGTCTCTGGCATTCTGAACTTTTCGGAGTCCGGCGTCCGGGACGAGACGGGGCGCGGGGAAGCGGATGAGGGCGGGTCTACCGAGGAGGACGGTGAAGGGGATGAGGGGGGTGTCGAGGAGGAAGACGGAAACTCAAAGGTCAGCGAGGTTGATTGAGCTCGTTGGACAGATCCAATGTGGTTTCGTAGGCACGAGAAGTGAAGTCATGCACGGATGGTAGTTTGTATGATATTGCTGTGAACTTGCTGACTAGTACTATCAGGCACGCACGGATCTACATATGTGCAGTCAAGTGCCGTTTGAGAAGGATTACGACAAGGCTCAGATGAACTCAGTTTCCTGGTCACGCGGCGGAACGTCGCCGCACGCATCTAAGATGTTGCTCAGCGATAGATAACGCCGCAGGGCTATGACAAGCGAACTGTTCATCACAATGGACGCAGCTGATGAGGCAAACTGGGCCATCATACCTCAGAAAGTCCATGGATTTACGGACTGAGGAGTGATTGCACGAGAAGATATTCCGTGTCATGACCTAACTCCGCAGCGAGGGGTTCACCATCTCTTCCACCTATAGGGATGACTTTCTGGGACATCTGCAAGCCACCGATCACTAGTCAATGAAAACGACAATCAGTGGAACAGGAAGGTCTGTGGTCTCCGCGACGATTGAGTGGACAGACGAGGCTGCGCGAGCCAGGCACCGGGTCTGGTATACCCGATCTGAATGTGACCGGCTAGTGATGTGTGGACAGATGGGGTAGCATGTCTGCCGTACGCCCGTCGGTGTGGATGACAGTCGGATGACCACGTGCATGTCAAGCTACTGAACGGGACTGCCAAGGGCAGGCCCTCGCTCGCCCAGCGGTGTGCCGCGTGAGCACCGAAGTCTGTGCTCGGAGCAGCACATGTTTTTTTCCTGGGGAGGGAGGCTAGCCTGAGACGAGTGGAGATGCCAAAAGGGTCAAGAGGGTGGGCGAAGCAGGAGTGGGAAGCCCAAGATGGGCTAGTGCAGAACATGGATGATGACGGGATGTCAGTGGACGGGGGATATCCGAGGGAAAGGGCGACTCAGTTGATTGAGTAGCAACCTGTAAGCAACCGGATCGCATGAACCTCCCTGCCCGGTTACTTACGTCGAAATGACCATACTCGCTGCAATAGGAAGACGCGATAGGCACAGACCGTTGCCCACGGCGCGTGCACCGAGCAGAATCAGTCTGTCTCACCCCCACACTGCTCCCGCCGGCGCACGACAGTGAAATATAGCGGCCTTTGCTGCCATGCGACTGATCTTCCCTTTCCTCCTGCGCCCTTGCGCCCTTGCGCCCCCTCCCCGCCGCCGGTCTCGTTGCTGCCCGGGCGATCGTGTCGGTAGGCGGCACCCGTGACTCACGCTACGCTAGACTCGATCGTATCTTCAGGCCGCGCGCAGCCACACCCGCTCGTGCATCTAGAAGCGTCATACGACCCTAAAACACTCTTCCCCTACACGCTCGAACAGACGTACAACCTCCGAAGTGTTCTCCCTTGAATGTATACCACTCCGTTCTAAACCCCAATGACCTTGACACCCTCCACTGACGTCCGTTCTCTCCCTTCATCCTTGTCGCCATGATTGTCCGTCCTACACCTGGCAAAATCCAGACTGAACGCATGCAATCTCAGTCTCCCCCTACGCGCCGTCGCGCGAACAGCACCAGCGCGACGCTCGCCCCTAAACAAGCCCAGACGACCAGTCCACCCCTCCTCCCTCAGTCGCCGCTTCTGCAGCGCTTTGCTGCCCAGCAATCAAAGCCTAGCAATCGCGTCCCTACGACACCCACCAATGCTGACGGGCCCAGCGACACCCTCACCCGCTCAGGCTCAGGCTCTGGTTCTGGCAAGCGCAAGCTCTTTCGCCTCAAACGTCCCAGCAGCTCGAGTTCCTCCGAGCCACGCTCCGCCACGCGCGGCCGTTCGTACCAGATGTTGGGCCACCACTATGGCCTAACACTCGGCGCTATGAGCATGAGCGTCCTCGACCCCCCCGCCCCGCCCCCGCCTCGGCCTCCTCGAAACCCCGCGCGGAGCAACCCCGCGCCACGGCCCTCGTCCTCAGGCGGGCCCGCGCACAAGGCTCCACGGCTGCACGCGGCCGTGGATGAGCGGAAGCCGAAAGTATTTGGAGACAGTGCTGCGGACTGGGAGTTTCCGCTACCGGTGAGCATACCCTGCCGTTTACCTGGTCCGCGTCCCGTCCCCCCCACGACTTCATTCGCGGGAGAAGGGCCCGGGGCCTTTGTCCGGCATAGTTCTGACGTCACATTGTCCATTGTTCGCGTGAAACTGTGCATGCGTAGCGGGGATCCGAGTTCCCATTGCAGCGGAAGAAGAGCAAAAGCCGCAAGTTCGATCCTTCGCGGATCACACAGGACGAGAGCGCGAAGAGCGATGTGCAGTTCTCGACCGTGGACCGCACGATTCTTGAGGAGCTGCGCCAGAAGATCCGGGCCAGAGAAGAGCAGTTCGTTACCCGGAGCGGAAGAAAGTACCACGCGTTCTCTCCGGCAGACGTGCCGTACCCGCGGAGCTACGACAGGCAGATGGTCGACTTGTGAGTGCCAAGCTGCTCGTTGTATGCGTCGGCACCGGAGGCTGACTCTATCAAGGGATGTGTGGGATGACTTGTGGCAGCTGCAGCTGGGAGGCAGCATCACGATGCATGTCTTTCATACGCCTCCGGCAAGAGTGTGGGTCTGCTCATCCTGGTATTCACACGATGGAAGCGCAACTAACGTCACATCCATCTAGGCTCGATCTAGGATGTGGTACGCTTACTTGACGGCTGGCTTGCCGAATCCATTGGGCTGAATGGCGTTTCAGGAACCGGGACGTGGATTCTGAACGCGGCTAGGGAATGGAAGGTACGTCTTTCATGTATGCTTCACGTTGAAAGAAGACATCCTTACATCGCGGGCGCATCGTAGGACTCTTACTTCGTCGGTTCGTGACATCTGATTGTATGTAATGGGCCCGTGTTTCTCAACATCTAGCGCAGGTCTGGACGTGGTGCCTTTACATCCGGACTTACTACAAGTGGGTTGCTTTGACCTGGCGGCACGGATTACGTGGGTACAAGGGAATTTGTGAGTGGTTCGTTTGTTCCTAGCCGTATACCCCTTCGATCGCCTGCACGTGAGCTACTGCTCCTGGACGCTATAACCTCGGCTTATCACCCGCCCTCCCGCTATTCCTACCCTACATGACCCCCGTTACAGTCTGAGGACGAGAACACTCTCCTTCCCTTAGTGTCGAACTCCATGTATGCCGTTGCCCATACCACAAGTCCTTGCCCTCTACCGCGGTTATCTTTCCGAGCGTTTGAACTAACCGGCATGCCATGCTAGCCTGGAGAGCCTCCCATTTCCGAATGAGGAATTTGACTACGTGTGAGTGTATACCCAGGACGATCTTTGCACGTGAGATCTGATCTGATTTACGTTGAACCACAGTCGGCTTACTCGCGTCGGTCGCGGCGTGCCCGAGGACAAGGTACGTTACACTCGAGATCGGCGATCACTCCACGACGGACTCTGACGCATTCCTTCCGCAGTGGGACGCCTTGTTTGAGGTACGGCACCGAACGCACCACCTACCGCTTTCCGTCGACCCTGACAGTGCGTTCCGCGATAGGAAATCACACGTGTCATGAAGCCTGGTGGCGCTTTCGAAGTTCGTCTACCTTCCTTTTGCGTAACCAATGTATTAGGCGATCTGACATGTCGAGCAGATGTGGGAGGAAGACCTGCACTTTCCGGGCCACCGGGGTGGTGAGAGCGTCCACATAGTCGAGTCTCCAGGACCGATGCATCCTCCGACCCCGCCCCACACGGACTCGTCGCACTCGTCTGAGCAGGAGAGGTTGCATCATCCCACGTCGTTTGCATTACGATCGCAGCGTTCATCGTTAGCCTTTAGCTATTCGTTCGACGACGTCACACGAGTCAACCGTCCCATGTTCGAGGACACCCAACGTCCAATCCATGCTTCACAATCTCCTACTAATGGTGCCCAGACCTCCATGCTTTTCCGCAGTCTCGACCGGCCTCCGATGAACCCCCATGACCACTCGTTGCTAGAGATCATTTACAACGAGATGCACGCCGCACGATTCATCAATTTAGAACCAGTATCGATGATCGCGAATCTTCTCCCGCTGCACTTCAGAGGTTGGTAATTCAACATTCAAGCAGAGCGCAGCTGAACTCGAAGCCTTCCAGATGTTCGAGCGCCGCCTCCCATCATCGTCACGTTCCCACCTCTGCCCGTGCCTCCCGTCTTCGACGACCGATCCGACGGTTCCCCGGTCACGACACGCCGAAACGTGTTCGACGATCCGTTCGTCGAGGAACCACTTCAGGTGGAGAGTCCTACCGAGTTCGGAACCTTCAGGTTCTCCCAGTCCCCCGTGTTGCATGCCCGCGACATGGTTGATGGGACCCCTTACGTCGGGATTGACACAGCAAGATACTCCGGCGTCTCTCCGTCCGCTTTTCGACGTAAAACTCTTCCGTCGACCACCGAGCAGGCAGCGCATTTTAAGCAGCGGCCTGACAGCCTTCCTATGTCCTCCGACACCCCTATCTCATTAGCCAAGCTGCAAGGCCATATCGCAGCCGGACGGAACCCGCTCCCGAACAAAACGATCAACTTCGACCCGCGGACGCTTAACCTTCTCCTCACGCTCCGGGTGAACGAGGTGCTGGGCTGCGCAGAGCCTATGTGGGATTGGGTGGTAGATTTCCAGGAGAACGTCGCGCGTGGTGGGGAGAAGGCGGGTTCCTCAAGCGTGTCAGAACACATTGCGCTGCGGCCGCGCCGTCGTCGCCGGCATCCCCAGGAGGATGCGCTAATGAGTCTGACGCGATTGGACTTCGATGCCTTACTGAGACGCTTCGAGCTGTGAGTCGCTCCTCCCAACCCCCCTCTGCACGTCCGTCTTTTGGCATGCGGTCCCCTGGTGCGCGGTCCTTATCGGTGGGTTGCGTACCATGGGGCCGATTTGTCAAAGTCGCCACACACCACACCGCCTCGAGAAGTCAGTGCTAACGTTTATTCTTGCCATCTCCGCCTGCTTCCACACGCAGGGACATGAAGGCGCGCATGTATCTCGCTCCAGCCCTCGAAGACCGCCTGGGCTGGCCAGCCTATCCTGTCACTCCTACCGAAGAACTCGAGACCTTCGAGGCGATGTGCGCGGCCTGGGCCGGGTACGAGCACCGTCAAGCCGGCGCGACCATTCGAGGAAGCGCATTCTTCAGGTCCAAACGCAGCCCATCGCCCCCTCCTTTCCCTACGCCCCGCCACAGCACGACGTCTGATGAGGGCGAAGCGACAGTCCGAGGGCGTAGGGGCCTCCCCACAGCTCATTATGCGTCTCATGCACAAGGCCAGACACATATTCCAGCAGACCCAATCCGGCCGGCCTTCGACGGGCTGTCGCGACGGCAGAGCGCGCCCGAGAAGCCTGTGAGCCATCTGAGTCGGCCGAGCACGGACACGTCGTCGTCGTCCCTCCTCTCCGAGCCAGAGCAGGAGCACCCACCCAGCAGCCGGACCGGACGCATCTTCGTCGCCTGGAAGGCGGCGTCGTGATGTCCGCGGGCGAACGGGAGGGAATCCGCGCCGCGCGGTGTCCCCTTTCGTTCGACTTCCGCGCCGGGGATGCGGCCTGGTCTCTCTGGTGCTGGGGCGCACCATGTATGGGGCCGCTGATCACTGCTGCGGTGCCGCAGATTGCGTCCGTGTCGCGCGAGCTGTTCCCAATCCTGGAGCTTCCGTTCCCGCCCGCCTCTCCGCGGAGGAGAGGCGCCCCTGCTTTCTTCTCTTGGAGTCATCGTCGGAGTGCGAAGGCAAGGCCAAGGAAATCCACACGCTATATCCGGACGCTGCGATGCGTGCCCCTCCTCACCCGAGCGCCGCCGCCCTGCCCTTGCTTGGCGCTCGACCACGATACCCCCTATCCTGACATGCGCACGGGTTTTCAAGATAGGGAATGCGCGAAGGACATACAGAAGAAACGCGAACGTCAAAAGCCTTCACAGGGTAGCACCACGACTACAGTCGAGCCGCTTGAACTCGTACCCAGAAGGTTTCTATCCATGACTCAGATCGTTCACATCCCGCTCGTCCGTCCGCTTCGCTCAGATGGGGGCCGCATCTGGGTTCAACCCCCAGACGTCCTGCTGCACGAGCGCACCCCAATTCGGACCCAGGACCCAGATCCCTTGCAGGCTGTTCGCAAAGGCTCTGTCTGTCTGGGTGCGTGCCTCCCGTCGCCGCGGCTTCTCTGCTTCCCTTCGTGCTGCTCATGCTCTCATTCGCGGCTTCGGAACTTCGACGATAAGATGCGCGCGATGGGAGGACAGGGGACGTTGGCGCGCTTCTCGGGTTTTCTCATGGCTGCCGCTACGTCCCACTTTGTCTCCGCCGGATTCCCTCTGCGCTACCACACCTCATATCTGCCGCCTTGCACATGATCACGCCGCTGAGACCAGACCTCGTTGGTTCACGCCTCTGCTTCACGAATCTCTTCCCACTATCTGCTGTCATTATTATGAATTATTTATTGTACTTGTCCGTCTGTGCTGTTCGCCCAGTACGTCTGTAGCGCCAGCCGCTGATGTCTCTCTAGCCAATCGTCCGTTCACGTTCGTTGTCGCCGTAACGTGATCTATCCCACATCTATCCCACATCCCCCACCGGTCCACTATCTATACTTCATCCACCAATGTTCGCAGTCTCCGATTTGTACGCCCAGCAGTCTCTACCCTGTCTATCTGTACGGTGCAATTCCATCACGATTTCATGCTCTCGTGCCCCCTCGTACATTTCACCTGCAAGCGACCGACGGACGGCTCTTATATGCCTACGTATCATGTTCTACGACCACCGCCCGCCGATCGCCCCGCGTCACCGTCAGCAGAGGGACGCCCAGCACAGTCCCCTTCCGGGATGGCATCTCGGGCACGCCCTCCCGTCGAGGACGGCTAGAAGCCCGCACCGGGCGCTTCTCCGCATCGAGTGTTCTCAGCCTGCCCTTCCTGGCCTGCGCTCCCAACCTGCGGCCTCGCTACGTCGTCTGCCAGATATGGCGTCGAGCGACCCATATATGGGCAGGAAGGTTCGTCGCAGTGGTTTGTCCCCCGCTTGTGTGGCGCCGCTGTCCACCGTGGCCGCAAAATGTCGGAGAAAGTGAGCCTATGGTATGCACGTCCGCGAGGCTATACGTGGGTGGGTGCTCTCGAAGGGGGCACCTGGGCGGTCGGCGATGACGACGCGCGATGTGATGAGACGTAAAGGAAAGCGCGATCGTCGCGTTCTCGGTTCACATAGACCGGCCGACCGCTGTGCTCGGTATGCTATCTAGGTCGGGTGTAGTTATGGACCGGCATTCTGGCGCTCTGCTGCGAGGATCGAGGCATGCCGGGTACGATTCTGAAGGGGGTATCGAGGACCGGGGGTGGCGTCTGCCTCCGTGATAGCGTTTGCCGAGCATCCGTGATTCGAAGCATTGCTCCATAGCTGTCGTCAGTGCTGACCGATTGCGGCGGACGCGTTTGGGGGCAGGGTGAGGTGAGGCGAGCCTGACAAACCACCCATCCCGAATTAATGTTGTCAGACGTAGGGAAGCGCCCCCATACTGCCCTCAAACTCGTAAGACCGCCTAGATCTTGCGAATCGTGTGATGATACGGAAGATGTGCGGGCAGATCGTGTCGCAGTTGCACGCATCGTCGTCGCAGACGTATTGTGCCCAGACGGTCCAGGCCGCTCGATGTGGCCGCGGGTGGTTACTCTCGAGTTTCGTGCACACAGTGGGCGCGATCGTGCGTAGATCATCGATACCACGAGACGTAGGAAGGTGTGCCGGACGTATCCTTATCGTTGCCGCAACGCGCCTGACCCGCCCACGCGCGCTCTAAGTCCGCTGGGCAATAGAGAGATTTATACACGGTCAAGGCAAACACATGCAGCAGCAGAAAGCGAAGAGAAGACTCACGCACGAGGTGATCGCTGCAAGGGAGACTTGGTCAGCGCTGGCCACACCAAACACTCGGGTCACGGCCAGACTAGCACTAGGGCCGCACACGGGCTCATTTCACCCCGGGTGCACTTCGAAGCCCTTCGATTGACACCTCCCAGATGCCATGCTCTTCCCATGGAAAGGCACAACAGCGGGCGCGGTCGCAACCTCCTTGCGTCCGTGAACGGGCGTAGAATGCAAACCCTGCGTTATTCGAAATCATATAACGAGTGTAAATCACGTCATGAAATCACCATGATCATTCTCGCCCGCACGTCCGGAAGTATACTATCTCAGCCTGGACAAACATGCCACTTATTCGGGAGCTATTTCGAATGAGAACACGAGAAGGTGAGCGACCTTAAACTATGCGCTGCCTGCTTTGGCAGCCACTCGACGGCGAAGAGGACGAGGCGAGCCGCCGGCTGCCGCGGCAAGTACTACCTAATCAGGCACTGAGCGTGAGTTGTGCGCAATGATGACGAGGCGGCAGCCGACGCGGGTGATACATTACAGGCAGTCGCCAGGACGACGGCGACCGCGCCGCGTGGCCCGCTTGACCCCCTTCCAAGTTCCTCACGCTCTCCGGCCGCGCGGGGGTGCGATTTGCGCGGACGCGAGCGGGTACACCGAATACGCGTGATGCATGCACAATATTAGGCCACCTGCCATAATCGTCCCTCGGGAAGATCGATTGGCGGGCGGCTGTTTGGCATGGCAGCAGCAGCAGCAGCACAATGGGATTCGGGTCCTTGGCCACGGGTATTCGTTCGGCGGCGTGGGCAGCCGTCGTCCCAAGGCGGAAGCGCGGGCCCACTGCCCTCCCACCGCTGCTACTTACTGCTCCCGCTTGGACATGAATTACGCCCGGTGCCCCTGGGGCCCGGCGGAGGGGAGACTCTGTTATTAGTGCGCGTGTGGCAGCCCTCAGTCGCGATCGAACGAACGGACGGCGACGCGCAAGAGCAGATGTGGGAGCGTTGTTCAGAGCATGGATAGAACGACGGACAGGGTCCATGCTTCTGACCCACCGCGTGTGTAGCAAGGAGACTGTCGGGACGACGTACCGCCAAGAAAGGAGATCGCAGAAGACGAAGGCCCCGATAGTTCAAGGAGCCTGCGCGTACTGACTCGGGTGCGGGGAACTGCTGCAGCACAGCTGCAGCCGACACGGATGCCGCTCGAGGCTAAGAGAGAATACCGGTCAGCGCACGGAGTTCTGCCGTCCGTCCGTCCGTCCGCTTAGTCGGAACGCGCGACGCGATCTACGGCAGCCCTGCATGCCACGCTCCAGCAGGCCGAGCGGGGAAAGAGGGGAAACGAAGACAGGCGACCGCACGCCGCGCGGCGATGCCTGGGAGTGCCTTTTGCCTGTGTAAGCAACCAGGATCCCGGCGGCAAACGGACCTATGACGCAATGGCTCACTGAACCGTCCTCGCCGATGCTGCACCGTCCGGATTCTCCAGCGAAGTTGTGCCTGCGGTAGCCTGCGTGCGGTGAGTCAAGCGAGATATAACGAAGTGCGAAGCGCGGTCACCAGTTCACTGCGGCGAATGGGGAGCCAACCGGAAGAGGCGTTGACGCGGCATATCTCGTAAGAGAACAGCGCAGAGGAGCTGCAAGCCACGGATATAATGTCGGAGAAGTGTGGGTGGACGAGAGGCGCAGCGACGTAGCGACTGCGCTACGGTGAGCGAATGCGTTTATATGAAGTCGAGTGAAGGGGGCAAGGACGGGCTCTGAGAAAGCCACACGTGGTTAGTCGTGGATCGTTCTGGCTCACGCTGAGTGGGTCGCCGTATGCGGACAATTGTCACTGGATATCATCACGATCAGCTCTGTGGATATCCATGGCGATATCGAGCAGGCGGACCTACGTAGTACGGCGGATGGGCACCCCGAGAAGCCAGACGCTAGTCTGGGCGGTCGAGCAGCGGCTATGGCGGGTCGGCCGTCGAGTACAGGCGTACAGCGACTGTAATGCGTGAGAGCCCGGATCAAACAGCGGCCAGATCTGGACGCCAGATGTCAGCACGGAATGTGCGGTACCACCCGTGCTAGCGGTGTGCGCTACAAGGAGGCTGGCCCTGTTTCGGGGTTCGATGGTCGGTGGTCTGACCCGTCTAGTGACAGCGCAACGGGGCCAAAATCGGGCACGGGGCACTGACGTACTGGGCACTTGAGCGGGCGGGGGAGGTTTCGATTTCGGTGTGTCAGCGCGCATATGGTAATTCAGGTGGTCGCGTTCCGACGCTGACAGAAGCAGGGCATCATGCAGCTGATGTCTGACAGAGTGCATTCCTCCACCCCGAGAGAGGCAGTCCGGGTGCGTGAATCCGCCACATGCCTCCGCCGCAGGTGTGGCATGTGCATCAGGAGGGGCTGCCCAAGAGCCTCATGCGATGCGTGCGCCGGGACGAGGAGGACTGCTGGGACGTGGGCGGGACATCTGGCACACTGGGGCCCGCCGCCGTGCACTCGCCGGAGGAGAAGTTCGGACGCAAATTGGCACAGCGCGCATAAGGAAAGAAAGTTGCCGTATCCGGAACGAAGCAGGGTACGACTGCCGGAACCAAGTATAGCGCGATTTGATTTGTGATGCCTGTGCTGGGCCAGACACGGCCCTCCGCAGCTGCGCGGTGCCGCCTGCCGGTGCGCGCGAGCTGTGCGCGAACGGCAGAAAGGCCTTCGCGACGCGCGTGGTGGTGCGCAGAGGGCGCGCGAATGCGCGAGGGGGGTGTGGAGGGCAGGGGAGAGAGGTGAGGGAGGAAGGAGGAGAGGGACAGAAGAGTGTCGCAAGCGAAAGGATCTGGGCGCATGCCTAATCGGGGGGCAACGAGGTCGATCTTCGGCTAGCTCGGGATGGAAGGAGGCCCGATACGGCGATGTTGGTGCTGGATCTGGCTGCTGTGCCTTGCTGCGAGAGTCACGAGCGGGTGGAGAGGGCCGTGCGTGGGACAGGGAAGGAAGGAGGGCTTGACAGGGAAGCGGGCGGCCAGGACGAGCACTAGGCTTGTCGAAGGCGGTTGGGTGATAAGATAGCGTGAAGTGGCGTGGGAACGTCGGGGTGTGCCGGGCGGAGGATGGCGTTGTTTGTTTGATGGGTATATATGGGAGGGTGAGCGAAAATGGGAATCTTATTTCCCTCCCAGAGCTGCTCTCCATTTCTGGTACGCGTCCGAATTGGGGGTGCTCGTCCTCCCAACTCGTCCCGGCCCTGTCTTGCTCTTAACCAGCTCATGGCCTTTCGCAGAGGCCAGCAACCCCAATCTGTTCCCAGTCAGCACATCCCGCCTCCCTATTCCAGCTCTTACGACTCCCAGCAGCAGCAGCAGCACCCGCAGCAGCCCATGCCCCAGTCCACCGACGTCGGCTCGCCCAACATGTCCAACAAGCGCGCCCGCCACGAGCTCGACCAGAGCGCCGTCCCCAATGACGATGGCTTCGTCCACGACCCCGACGCGGGCGACAGCGGCCAGGATGACGACGACGACGAGGACAAGCCCAAGACCGACAAGAAGGCCGGCCGTCGGAAAATCAAGATCGAGTTCATCCAGGACAAGAGCAGACGTCACATCACCTTCTCAAAACGAAAGGCGGGTATCATGAAGAAGGTTCGTAATCCCTTACACTTTTTCGTCGTGCTCCAACGCGTACTCAACATCTCTCGCGCGCGCGTCGCGTCTCTCAGGCATACGAGCTCTCTACCCTTACTGGCACACAAGTACTCCTGCTTGTCGTGTCTGAGACAGGTCTCGTCTATACGTTCACCACCGCGAAGCTTCAACCCCTCGTAACGCAACCCGAGGGCAAGAACCTCATCCAGGCGTGTCTCAACGCGCCCCATGGCCAGCTCCCTTCCTCTCTGCCTGTCGGCACTCCCATCAACCGCACCTCTATGCCCATGCAGCACCCACCTAACGTCCCTGGTGGGCTCGCGATTGGTTCCGCCTCAAGTACCAAGGAGGATGAAACGCAAGAGGAGAGTGAGGATGCCCCCACATCAGGCGACGCGTCAGGTCGCGGCAATCCTCGTAAGCGCCGTCGCGCGTCCTCGTCCGTAAATCAACCCCGAGGTAACACGTCTCCGGTCGTGCCTGGTGCGTCTGGCGCGCCCCAGGCTGGCGCACCTAGCCAGTCACCGCACGCTCGTCCAGGTCAGATCCCTCCCGGTGCGCCCCCAATCACGATGGCCGGCGTACCTGCCCCGATGCCCCTCGAACATTCCCCGCGCCAGGGTGGTCAAGCCGCGCCGCCGCCAACAAGTCCCAACTATGCTCAACCGCCCGGTGGTTATCCGCCTCCACCTCCAAGCGGGGACCCCAACATGTATGCGCACCAGCAACATGGTGGCTACCCTGGCGCCCCTCCGCCTCAACCCTATGGGGGCTTCGGACACGAAGGTGCGCCGGCGTCGGCTGTGAGCCAGAACCCTTGGGCCACGCCGGGAGTGCAACACGGAGGGCAGTACGCGAGGAGATGACACGACCTGGACGCTCGATCTGCGGGTGTGGTTGACTAGGCAGGACAACACACGGACCCTGCCATCTGGACAAGGCTTGCTCGTGTGTGGTATTGCTCTCATGACCGGTTACTGTGTAGTCCCTTAACGCTCCGTCTGTATATAACGTGCTATTGGCGGTTCTCATCCTCGTCGTTTTCTTGTACGAATCCTATTCCCCGCTTCTTTCCCTGCTCTACCCTGTTCCGATATCCTTAACGTCCTTCAGACTTACCCACACATGCTTGACCTCTTCTTCACTTAACTGAGCCCTGAACATACGATACGATATTCTCTTGCCGCTTCTTGTCTCGTCTGCCATATGTGACATCTTACTGCGGCCGCAGGTCCGAGTATTAGTGTCCGAGTAGTGTCTGAATTTTTCAGCTATCGTAGTCGTCAATTGTCCCTGTCCTCATACTCTAGCTACTGTGCTTCGTGTTTCGTGCGCGGCGAAGTATGAATCGAATGGAATTGTCGCAATGTACATATTAGTCTCTCCTCCCCTCTCGAATGAATACCACACGAACGTACTTCATGTGTGCAAAGGAGCTGAAAGTGTGAGATCGCGACCGATGATATCGCGGGAGGTGTGTGCATACATACATGGGGTCGATCGACGTGCTGCCGTCGGTCCGCACAGATCGAGTATGGTCGCGATCGTGCGTGGTTGCCCTGAAGTAGATCCTTGGTGTATCAGGGTCGCGTCTCGCTGCTAATATCGACTGTCGAGCTCGACGACAAGCAGGCACGCCACCGTCGTGAACAACTCGCTGCGCGTGAGACTGCTGGTGGAGCCAACGACGGCCCCGAATGCAAGCATGCCTGGGTCTGCCGCATTCGAATTCATTTCCGGGCGCATGTCGTGTTCGCGATTCCCCACTTCCCCACATCGCCCCGATGCGGTCAAGGCTCCATCAATCTCGCAGAAGATTCAACGGGATCGCTCGCGAATTCCACGGGCTTCTCGCAACCTGCCTCGTTGGGTCTGGCGGGTGTCTGACCCCGTCTCACGCCCGTGCCAGCCTGAGCCTGCGCATCAGAGCCGCACGGGGAGCTTGACCGTTCCAACGCTGTGGTACCGCTGTACCTGTACGGCCGTTACCCCACGCCGGCCACGCTGCGCTCGCCGGGGACCTGCACGCAATGGGAGGTGCGCCTGTTTTGACTTTGACTTTTAGACCTGCGCTTGCACGACACGTAGGCGGGATACACGCGGGCTGCGTCCATGCCTGCCTCTGAATCGGACGATGGTTCGATGTTGGTGCGATTTCGGGTGTGGGGCGATATTGGTACATATACAGTGCGGTGCTTCGACGGGGAGAGATTGGGCGATGGCCGACGATGGGAGATGATATCGGGCCTTCGCCGGGCAATATGGCCCCAAGCTTGACCTTCGCCTTATCCGACTCGAGTGCGAGACTGGCTTGCCGTACATGGTCGCTGGCGGTGCGTGGCAAATCTGGCGAGGGACCGGACTCTCTTTGGGGTAGGTAGGATCGGAAACCGTCCGATGTGGTCTGCAGTGATGATGCGGGAAGATGGACACTAACTTGACATGAAAGATACCCGTGGCCAGAGTACAGTTGACGTACTGATTCTAGGTGTGGCATAGACCTCGTCGTGTCAGTGGGCGAGTATGTCAACGACTGTACCTGACAGGACGCTAGATGAAGTAGCCGTAACTCAAATGCAGCACGTCTTGCGAACGAGGGTAGTCTAGGCAGCTGCCTCGCAATCGCGTAAGTTCCGCAAGTGTCGGCATCAGGATGACGACTAATCACTTCCTTAGCAGGTCCTGCTAGGCCTTATAACTCTATGTTCTTCTCTGCCCTCACATGCAAGCCCCCTGTTCATCTACGCGGACTCGCCCTCAATGTACTACGGCATCGACCCGGCGGGGAGTCTTGGTACGGGATCCGAGAGAACCGGAATGGTTGGTATACGGTGATGTCATCAAGTTTGCGATTGGGCGCCCTCCTATATATGGTTCACCGCACAACGTAGAGCGGAAAGCTGCCAACTCGAACTCTTTCGCGGTGAAGACGTCTCATTGGTGGCTACCCCTGGGCTTGTACTAGGTCTATGAAAAGCAGAGGAAAGTCAGCTTGCTGAGGTACGCAAGCGTATGAGACTTAATGGCGCAGCAGAGCTGACATTTCCTCCTCGCTCTTACAGGGGCATGATCTGAGGCACGTTGATACAACACCCAGTTTCACGCCTTGCTGCAACCTGAGAGGGACATCCGGATTGCGTAAACTGCGATCTCTCCAAACACCTAAAGGCGATTGTCATGAGACGTCGAGCAAGGCAGCGATTCTAATGGGACTATATCGTGATGAGGATATAGTGTGCCATGTGTCTGTGCACATTGCGCATGAATAATACTCGTCAAAGGCGATAGCGCAGCGAAGCTAGCCATTGAAATCTCTACGCTTACACGGCCGTTGTGGACTAGAATATGTCAAGGCCTGCAGATTCACGACCCTCTCACCTTCCCCCGCATATTGGCGAGCTCAGCTGTACCTAAAACACCTTGCATCGCTCGCTCCGTTCATCGCAAAAATAAGAGGTGACGGTTTTGCGATACCTCTGACCGCCGCGGCCCCTGACGTGTCGTAATTTCTTCCGGACACCTGCGAGTTCGGGCCAGTTCCACTTCTTGACCTAACAAAGTATAACAGCAGCTGACATTTTTTGCAGCCTTTTCCTTTTGCCTCCCCCAGGAGTCTCTGTGAGAGTGTCGTACTCGGCGCCTCCCTCTTGCTCCGCGAACATACTTCGATGACGACGCGTGTCAGCTGCTTGACTAAAGCCGGTCTGTACCCAGTCACTCCCTTGAACCTATCATACGAGAGCAATTTTGACGCGGTGAACACAAGACTTATCTACCAACCAGAGGCGATCGTGTATCTGGACACGACTGAGGACGAAGTGCGGCGCTGTTCATAACTTCTAAGTGAACGTGCGTTCCGGTGGACGTCCTTGTAAGTCAAAATCTGAAACCATATGCAACCATCGCCCCGACGTTGAGATACCGTTCCCGTCCCGGACGTCGCGCTCGAAGACGTGCCTGCCGCTCACCTCCCTTCTTGCACGCTCTTCTAACCCGCAGACGACCTCCTTACAAATGCATCCACATTCTCATTCACGGAGTACATGTACAACGGGATGAGCACAGATATCAACTGGTACGTCTTCTTGGACATTTTTGGTGGCAAGAACTCGGCGATTAGTGCGGTGCCTCAAAACGCGACAGCGTACAATGTCCGCGATATCTTCGTCAACTCGCAGGTTTGGACATCATGGGTTGCTGGATAGTGTGGGTGCGGGAAGTGATCTGTTGTGGCGGACCTGCTTGCAGGCGTCAGGAACCAAACGACAGCGTCTCCTTCATGTTGAGCATGTTCGACTCCTTCATCAGTCTTGTGAGGCTCCAGTCACAAGCCCCGTTCTGAATCTATCACTAACCACAGATAGCAGAGGACCGCTTGGTAGGCTACCCTAGTCATGTCGACCCGCTTGTGAGGAGGTGCATGAGTGGTACCACACAACATATACGGAGAAGCTGCAGAGAATCTAGAAGGAAGTTCATCCTAACTGCGGTATATGACCATCCCCTGGGTTTCTCTGCCGCATGAGATGAAAGGTTTTTTGTTGCCGTCTCAAATGAACAAGGAACGAAGACTTACCCTCTATGAGGACACCGCGAAACCTGGCGCTACTTACAGACCCTTGGGCATCGTAGTACAGGCGTACTGACAACGCGGTTCAACCTGGGGATATCAGATGCGGCGAAGCGCTCCATCAGTCGGAATAGACATGATTACACCGTGGTTTGATTGGAAAGAGAGAAGAGAACAAAGAGAGGAGAGAACATTGAAAACAAGAAGCACGATAAACTTCCTGCACTTTTCGCGGTTTGGCCATTGAGGTTCACGGAGATGTGGCGTGTGGCTGATCCTACCGTCCGCGCCATGCTCACCTATATGGAAGTATCCGTGTATCGGTGGAGGCAACACACTCGAATGTGGTCTGACAGAACAGTCCTTGCTGTCAATGGACCCGAGCCATCGGCTAAGGGAAGATCGGCTGAGTCGGTCCTCTGAGCATCCCGTGTTAGAGTCACGACATATAAGCACTTGCAGACGAGGAACACTCAGCATTGGCATCCAGGAGCGAAACCAGATGATTCTGGGTGAGTCACGCAGATCAAGGCTGCAAGGACGGTTGAATTGTGGCGGTGGGTCAAGGTAGAGAGCCTTCAAGGGAGACGTACTAGGTTCGGTTTTCTGCAGTGGCCCATTAATATTGCCCACTCATGGCTCCCAGCCTCCTGGTTGTTCGTTATCGTGACTTCGATGGCGGTAAACTAGAGATTGGTGAGCATGGTGATGATGATTGGATGAGAACACGTTGAAAGTGCGGCGGCCTCGCATGCGGCCGTTAGCGCTCAGTCATCTCTTTTCGGTTGCTCATTTCGCCGCGCGCTTGAGGAGCGCCTATATACGGCTGCTGGAAATCGCGTTCTGTATCTCGAGCACCATCCGGGCATTTTTTGTCGAAACGTGCAAGGGTATTTAAGGGCACTTGATCTTTAACATATTCTATGTACGGTTGCTGGCGGCGTTCGAATGGAAGAGCGGCCCGATATACCGCTATGGGCGCTACCCTGGCCTCCAAGCGCTCTGCGGAACGATCGGAAGCCAACTTAGCGCGGCTCGAGGTTGACATCATTCAAGCCAAGCCCGGGTAGCCTGTGGTACTACTCGCTCAGCCTCAAGCAGATGGCGTGTTCATCAGGGGCGAGCATATTACCATCACCTGTGCCACGTCGAACCGAGATTGGCTACCATAAACCCCTCCCTGAGGCCATCTGACGGTTACTCCTATCCTTATGCTTTGGTATCAGCCGCTGTGGTGTGGTAGACGATGAACGGTAGCCACGATACGCGGAGAAGAATCGGCTTGCTGAGGTGTGCAACAGCACGAGACTCTACTACAGCGCCGTGTTGTATGTCATCTCACCACGACTCGGCGCGCATTAGACGACCCATTTGTCGAAGTTGGCAATGGCACCGCAAATTTAGACACTGGCCTTTCCTCTCGTATCCAGACTCACCGAGTCGACTAGGAAACGTCGAAGTCAATGGTTTCATCAGGAGCCGCCGGCCCTCCTTTACATAGACGAGTTGTCAATGCAAGCTACCAGCTCCGGGTCGGTTACTGTCTTCCACACAATCATCCCAAGGCGAGCACTTGCACTACACTCAATGGTTGCGGCTCCTGACATGCTGCATTTTGTTCCAGAGAGGCCTATCCAGCTTGAGACGACCTTAAGTGTAATAGCAGCCGGCAATGGTCTGCCAAAGCTTCTTCTCCACCGTTTCGCTCTGCGTATTCCTAGCGGCCTCGGTCTCGAGCGAGATACTCGGGGTCAATATCTCGCGCCACGAACGGAATTCACCGACCGCCCTCATCGTCTGCTTGACTAAGGCCGGTCTAAACCCAGTCACTCCCTCGAACCCGTCATACCAGAACGACTCCCTCCCAGTGAACACAAGACTGATCTACCAACCGGCGTCGCTTGTGTATGCGAACACGGCCGAGGACGTGGGCGCGGCTGTCAAGTGCGGCGCTGTTCATGATGTCAAAGTGAACGCGCGTTCTGGTGGACATTCTTGTAAGTCAAGATCTGGTACCAAATGCTACTCGACCCTACTGACCATGTATCCCTCAATTCATGACAGACGCGTCTTTCGGTACCGGTGGCGAAGATGGGCACCTGATCATTTCCCTCGATAACCTCAATAACATGAAGCTATCCGGCGAATACGTCACTGTGGGCGCGGGCACCAAGCTCGGCCCCTTGTATCACTTCCTTTGGGAGAATGGTCAGTCACGGAGCTGACACACAATTCTAGGTCGCCAGCTCACATTGCATTATACAGGTCAGCGCGCCGCGGTATTTGGTACTGCTCCCCAAATCGGCGTAGGAGGTCATCTTCACGGTGGGTATGGCTTCCTCAGTCGCAAATGGGGTCTGTTCTTGGATCAGGTCGTCGAGATGGAGGTAGTAAAGGCAGATGGGTCTGTCGTTACGGCTAACAAGGACAGTAATGCCGACCTCTTCTGGGTATGTGCCTCAACCTGAATCCCCTACTTTTTCCATTCTATCTTTGCGCTTGCTCATCCATACGTAATGGTATAGGCACTTCGTGGCGCCCCACCCTCCTTCGGTGTGATTACCCAGCTCACAATACTCACTCACCCCGCTCCCACACACGCCGCGACGTTCGCCTTCACATACAACTGGAGCACTCCCGATGTCGCTTCCTCGGCTTTCCAGATCTTTCAGCACTGGACTGCTGAGGTTGATATGCCTTCCGACTTGACGTTGCAGGTCCAGTACACGGATGCTAGCCCTGTCCCAACGTTCTGGCTCATAGGAGCATACTATGGGGACGACGGCATCGCTGGTCTGAACAAGACGGTTCAGCCCCTCTGGGACGCGCTCCTGGCTCTCAACGACTCCGTTCCGACCGCCACTATATTCGAGGATTTAAACTGGATCCAGAACGTCCTGGTAAGTGATTGGCGAAATAGTCAACTTCCCTACCTTCTGACGAGGGCCTGTAAATTCGTGAAGTACGAGGCAGGTTTAGACCCGACAACTGACCCGAAAGTCGCGCTGGAAGATGCGCCTGCGATTCATTATCCATTTTACTGCAACTCGGTCTTCTACTCCGCTGATGACCTCCTTACAAATGCATCCACACTCTCATTCGCACAGTACACGTACAACGGCACGAGTGCGGACATGAATTGGATTGCTTACCTATACCTATTTGGCGGCAAGAACTCGGCGATAAGTGCAGTACCTCAAGACGCGACAGCGTACAATGCGCGCGATATGTTCATCAACCTGCAGGTATGTGGATAACAACCTACTGAGTCTGGGTGGCTCTGGAATGCGACTCTGACTTGACGTGGGGTGGGTCCTCCCAGGTTTGCGGTAACAGGAATACTGTGCCGTTCCCTGATGACGGTCTTTCCTTCACGGAGGGAATGCTGAAGTCCGTCACTGATATGGTATGACCCATCCAACCTCAGTCTCTTGCAATATGACAAGCTAACACCTATGTGGTTGTGACATAGATGCCAGGGGTTCGGTTCACTGGTTACCCGAACCACATTGACTCACAGCTCAGTCGTGAGGAAGCTCACGCATCGTATTACCCAACACACACACAGAGGCTGCAGGAGATCATGAAGAAGGAGAATCCGAAGGCGGTGTTCGACTACCCCCAAGGATTTCTTCCCGTGTGAGGTGTCCTATCAGACGCCCTAGTGCCCTGCAGAAGGACCCTGGAGCTCTTCGGCAGTCCAACCCTATAGTATAGACTCACCATTAGACAATCAAAGAGACACGTTTCTGTCCTCGTCGGGCTTGCCTTTAAGGGCATCCTCTTGTTATCGGGAATATGCGGAGGATGCCCTCAGGACCAATCACAATACTGTAGATGACTGTCAGCGAGAAAACAATGACGATGAGGAATGGAAGAATCACGGCCTTCATTTGCGGAGTATAGCGAACAAACGTGTCTCGAAGCATACCAGAATGGCACAGGATATTTGTCTCCCACGGACCATGATTCCTGGCGTCCTCTTGGCGGTCCATGGCTTTCAGTGGTACCTAAGGAGCCGCGAGATTATTGTGTCGCTTCGGATGAGAATAATACAAGATCCACAGCCAAGCGTGGGAGATTCACAGTGCCATCTAATATGCTTCTCAAGAATCGCATACCCGACAGAAAGGGTACCTAGAGAGAGCTCGAGTTGTAACTGTCAGTAGGGATCTGATGCACCGGGGGACAAGGAGAGGGTGTCTTGCTTGCCCAGAAACTGCACAATGTATCCAGTTGAACTTCGGAGAAACCGCCATTGTATTCTCCACAATGTCAAGAGGTCTTGATGCTGATGTCTGGCTCCTGCGACAAGTCGGCATCCTCAATGACAATGACATCGTCAATGGAGGGAGTAGCCTAAGCCAAGTAGCGATGATGGGCGCCTGCAGGAGAACGTCGGGCGCGCGGGCCCCCGGGCCATATCGCGAGTCCACTTAGCGGCCACACCATGTTCCACGCCCACTGCCAGCTAACGGACTCGACTGCGAGACATACCTGCTAGGGCTTGACTAGACTCGCACTGGGCATCTTACAATAGTCCACGAAAATGTCGGATCAAGCGGGTAGCAGGATCCTTGTAATCTCGCCCACTGCAGCGCGTGCGCACCAATTAGTGGAACGTATGCACCCGTCCCGCCTCGCCTCTCTTGCTCGCGCCCAATGATCCCCCAGGTGTCCAGGCGCTCTCTTCTCGCAGGGAAGGCGCAGAAGTCAACGGTTCTAGCGGTGCTCCCGAGAAGCAAGCGCAGACGAGCGTATCGACGAACAAGGACCCACTTGCTGCGGGGAGTAGCACGAGCATCCCGTGGACAATTGCGAACAAGTACTACACCGCGGAAGTTCACTTCGAGACGCACGAGTATGGGCTGTTTAAGGTCCAGCACGCTATCGGTGTCCCGGCGATCATCTATGTCTGGGGCCCAGGCGATGTGAGTTTTCATCAATTCTAGATGTCTGGGCGAAGATTTCATTAGAGCTTCATGGCGTTCGTATTCTCATGTACCGCTGGGATAGCCTTACAAGGAACATATCCCAGAGATTGCACAGAAGGTCCAGCATTACGATCCCGAGGTTTCGCTCGCAGTGCGCTTGGGCGGGGATGTTGAGGTCACAAGCCCGGCGGAACCAAGCGTGGATGACGATGGGCTCGACGAGTTCTTGTCCACACACGGGTTCGAATTTGTCGAAGGGGACAGGTCATACCGGAGACCTACTCAGGATGCCGATAGACACTCCGATGACGAGGACTCAGGTATGTACACCTCAACATTACCTTCAACAACGAGCTTACGATATACACACTCAAATACCTGAACTCAAACATTCCTCATTTGCAGGAATTCCCGGCCTGCCTCGCGTGATTGATGCCCTCAGCACCATAATGTGGCCCTCGCTCGTCCAGTCAGAGGCGACGAAGAAGCGCAAGTCTCGTGCTCGGGACCTCATCGGCTGGGCTCTCGAGGAGGAAGGAGACGATGGCCTCCGTGCCCTCATCGCCAATCCTTCCGCATCAGCCTCCTCCCATCAAGCCGGAAACGTTCCTGTTGCTGCTGCAGCACGGAAAAGCCGTATGCAGCGCGAGATGGAGGAGCTCGAACGATGGCTGGACGACGAGGAGAGTTCCTCGGGCGTTAAGTATAGCCGAGGCAAGGCCGAGGGTCAGCCTGCGGAAGAAGATGCTGCTCCCGCAGCGGCAGATGAGGAGGCGCGGCATTGGGTCACCAGCGCGCCCGTATCGTCCGCGGAAGGCTGGGAAGATATGATGACACCGCCTGCGATACGCACGCCACGCTCGTTTGACAGCCCTCACGACGACGCCTCATTCGAGCACGGGTTCGAAGACGATTTTGCCGACTTTGTATCGGCTTCGTCGCATCCGCATCTTCAGCCCCATGGCCTGTCCGACGACAGGCTGCTGGAGGTGCATTATGACGTTGGCAGGCTCACGCCTATGCACACGGGCACGTCGTATCGTTCGCTCGGTTCAATGTCTGACTTTGGCGGAGACGAGAGTTTCGGACCGGATTATCGCTATCTAGACGGCGACGATGAGGACGATCCCGACCTCCCATCTCGCGCGGAGGTCCTTGCGACATCGCGCAGGCTTTTCGGTGCTTCCGCCTTTGTGCCTGCCCCATCCTCCTCCACATCAACCGGGCCTGATACTTCCTCGGCGCGGGACCTGACTTCCAGTGCCCTACCTACTCTTGACCTACCACAGCCTCAGCACTCGTTGTTAGCAGACTCATCTATGGACAATGTAACTGATACGGAGGACGGCGACGAGTCCTTCGCCGCGTTCGACCTCTCGCGTGTCTTCAGTGCCCTGCAAGGTATGAAGGACGAGATTGCAGGGATGAAAGATGAAGACGAGCGGAGGCGTGCTGCCGCTCGTGTTGCCCTCGGACTGGTGTACGGATTGGGTGTTGGGGGCGACAGACCAGAGCAAGGGGGCCTCGCTGGGGTAGGAGAAGGTGGAGGAGGTGCGTGAGCGACTCCTTCCATTGATTTCGATGCATAGGGCATGTGCTACCGTGTTCCCTATCACTAGGTTGTGTCAGTTGTGCTGTCTTGTATTATCCTAGAAGTTGACTGTCTTTGGATACGACACTGTTGGCCATGATCCTGTGCGCCAGTTCCGCTGACAGATTCCTGACCACTGACAACTCCATAAGACTTAAGTCCGGATTCTGATGATTAGCGGTCTATTCCGCTGACTAACATACAACTTGCGCGAAGAGGTCGGCGATCCTGTGGTATTTACCGCATCTCAACGCATGACTTGCGGTAGTGACTACTCATTCGTGTAATCATCTTGTAAGTGTGAACTAGATACACTTATCAGTCCACTTGAGTAGCAATGCCTTTCAGGCCAGCCATCCATGGGCCGGTGCTCGTTTGTCAATATTGATAGCGAGTAGCGTATAATCGCTATCTCGATGTCTTGCGTTTGCGGGATCTTGCTTACTCATCACACCGACTCAAAGTTGCGTCACTGGCCTTCGCAATGGCGACAACCTGTCCATTCCCTCCGCCCGGGTCTCCTGAGCATCGCTTACAAGACACTATGCCGGAAAGCGTAAATCGGTATTATAGAAAGGCCTATTCCGAGTCATTGGTCTGGGTTTGGTGGCATACTGAAGCTAGGGGAGGTTGGCTCGACCGCACCCACACGCCACGGGCCCACTTCCGCAATGACGGATGACTGATGCGAAGACAGTATCGGGGATGATAAAGCAGACAGGCTTATGGGAGCCACGCTTCTCTGTGCAGCGGAAGTATAAAGTCGAGCCAGTCCTCTCACTATCAGCCTCATTCACTCAACGACACAGAATAACCCCCGTCGACAACAATCCTTCCATCGCCCAGTCTATCGCCTGTGTCATTAGCAGCAATGGGCACCGCCGCAGTCCTCGCTCCTCACGATGTGCCCACGAGCCTCAATTACTACACGCCCATAGGCACCGAGGAGCCGTACCAATACGTCCAGACACCCCCAGAGGGCAAGGCACCCCACAACCTCGGCTCCGAGCCGCATGAGGTGACAGTACGCGACGCACGCGGACGCGAAGACGAGTTCTCGCTCGACAAGAACGGTTTCCAGTTCGTGAAGTACCCGAGCGTTGAGAAGGAGTTCGACGATGAGGAGCGTATCAAGGCGGTGTACTACCCCGAGGTCGAGAAGCTCCTCAAGGAGGTCGCAGGCGCGAAGCGCGTGTTCATTTTCGACCACACCATCAGGTGCGTCCTTCGCTATCCGTGGGGAGCTCTTGTTTGACTCATGAGTCAACGAACAGGCGCAAGCCCGGCTCTCCCGAAGCGCTGCAAGGGACGGGTGTCATCCCTCGTGGCCCCGTCGTACGTCGCTTCACTTACCAAATCTATCATCGCGCTCGCTGACAATGACTCTAGGAGCGTGTCCACATCGACCAGACCTACAACGCCTCCGTCGAGCGCGTCAAGTACCACCTCCCCGAGGACGCCGAACGGCTGCTCAAGTCGCGCGTGCGCATCATCAACGTCTGGCGGCCTATCCACCACCCCGTCGCGCACAAGCCGCTCGCGGTCTCGGACTGGCGCTACCTGGATGAGAATGACCTTGTGCCGGTGCACTTCATCTACCCGCACCGCACGGGCAGCACGTACTCAGTGAAGTACAACCCGAACCACCAGTGGTGGCACCTGTCGGACCAGACCCCGGACGAGGTTACCCTCATCAAGTGCTACGACTCCGAGTCGGACAGGGCGAGGTTGACGCCGCACAGCGCGTTTGCGGACGCGAGCAGCCCGGCTGAGGCGCCGCACCGGGAGTCGATTGAGGTTCGTGTGTTGGTGTTTGACACCGAGTAGACGCGAATGGGCACCCCTTTCGGGTTGTAGGATCTTGGTGGATAGTGTGTTGAATGTTTGTAATATTATGCTGTTCGAGTGATGCAATCGAACGTTATGATCACTCAGCGCATAAATGATCTGGTCGTTATATTCTTCTGCCGACCCGAGATTGAGTAAAACACAAAAGATGCAACAATTGCAAATCGACTTCCTCTAATGAATACAGCAGCCAGGCCATAAGGATAACCAAGTCACAAGAATACGCTGCCATCCAGATCCGATCACACTGCAATCGTCTTGTCAGCAGCCGTGGCATCGAGACCGTTGGCGTACTGGAACTCCCCGGAGTTTTCGTACTATCGAAGCAGAAGTCAGGGTGAAAGGGCTGTACGCAGGGGACGAGGGCGACATACCTCCCACATGTCTATCGCGACCTGACAACTTTCCCGCACGACACGAGGCGCGTCTGGTCGTTGCATCCACTCCTTGAGGTGAGGAAGGACCTCGGGTGTCGCGATGCCACCAAGGGCCTCTGCGGCCTCATGTCGGACCATGTCGGATTCGTGGGTATTCTCAAGCACTTTGAGTAGAGCGGGAACGGAGTGGGTGGAGAGGAGCTGGCCGAACACGAATGCGATCTCGTGCCTCAACGGCAAGAGTCAGGATGAATTGTGTGGACTGAAGGATGGACGAGACGCACTTGAATAAAGCACTGTCATCGCCGAAGCCGGACGCGAGCGCGTCGACTGCAGCAGGGGTGCCGATATTCCGGAGCGCGAACATTGCGCGGTACCGCTCGAATAGAGGAAGATTCCTGTCGTTGAGGGTATTCCGAAGCTTCGCGATGTTTTCCTCAGACGCGTCCTGGGGCGCGGCCTTGCCGGCAAGGAGACCAGAAGTAGGGGGAGCAGGGTCGATCGAGGTATACGCCCTGGGGGAGACCGCTTGTCAGTAGAGAAAAACGAGAACAGAGACGACGGAACGGACTGCTCAGCAGACTTGGCTGTTGTAGACCAGTGCTTCTGCCCCTCCTCCGAGTGGTCCCAGTCGATCTTGGCCAGTGCGATCTCGCACGTCTCGCGCACGCATTGCTCGGGGTCCTTTAGGTAACGCCGGAGTAGGTCTTTTGAGGATGTCGCGGAAATGGCACCAAGAGCCTCAGCGGCCTGTAGGTTATGCGGTTCAAGCCTTCGGACTCAAGCAAACGGATGGCAGGACTTACGGACCTCGTGCCGGACCATCGGATCCTCCTTCTCGTTGGCGAGGACGGATTCGAGGACGGGGAGCGCCGACGTGTTTTTCATCTGTCCAAGGCAATATGCAAGCTCGTGTTTGAGCAATGCACTCTCGTCCGCGAAACCTGGGTGCCATAGCAAAGTTAGACCGAGAGTCCGGGGAAGCAGAGAATATGTACACTTGCCCTTTGCGATGATATTCACCGCATCATCGTTTTTGAGCGCCTTGAGGGTGAACAAGGCCCGGAACCTGTTGTGGAGTGGTACGTTGCCCGAAGTGTTGAGCAGGGAGGCCTCAAGGGCGCCGAGGGTGCTGGGGTCGACTTCAGCCACCATGGTGAGGGAGAGAGCAGCGATTCGAGATTAGATTAAGCAGCGCGTAGATCTATACCAAGAAAATTTGGAGATTAGATCAACCTTTGTGAGGCGCCCTGCCTCGATCGCCGCATGCGGCGAGGGCCTTCTTTGCCTCACGCGGGCATCTTGCTGCATCTCCCTCTGGGCTAGTCTCTACCACAATCTGTACTATACATACCTGTTGCACACTCCATATAATCTCACACTGAAATGCCCAAGTCAAAACGCTCCAAAGTCGGTGAGGAGATCGCAGCCCTGCGGGCATGGACGAGGACTGACCTCCGCCTTAGTCTCGTTGACCAAGGTCGCGAAGAAGACAAGAGAAGACAAAAACGCACTCCTCGCAGAGGTAAGCACCTGTCTCACAGCTCCGTACGCGCACAGCTGACATTGTCAGGTGCAAGAAAATGCCGACAAATGGCAATACTGCTGGCTGTTCGAGGTGGGGAACATGCGGAACGCCCACCTGAAGACAGTCCGGAAACTATGGAAAGAGTGCGCCCTCTCCTCCTCCTCCTCCTCTCCCCCCTTCCCCTCACACCCTTCCCCAACCGCTAACATATGCGCCCCCAAACAGCACCGCACGCATGTTCTTCGGCCGCGGCGCCGTGATGGCCAAAGCCCTCGGCACGACGCCCGCGGAAGAGCACCGCCCGGGGCTGCACAAGCTCGCGACGCAGATCCGGGGCCAGGTCGGGCTCTTCTTCACGGACTCGCCGCCCGCGGAGGTGCTCGAGTGGTTCGCGGACTTCGCGCAGCCTGACTTCGCGCGCGCGGGCAACCGCGCGGCGCGCACGGTCGTGCTGCCCGCGGGGCCCGTCATGCAGCAGCACGCGCAGCCGCCGGAGCCGTTCCCGCACAACGAGGAGCCGCAGCTGCGGCGGCTCGGGCTGCGCACGCGCATGGAGCGCGGGGTGCCGACGCTCGACGCGCCGCATACGGTGTGCGAGAAGGGGAGGGCGCTGACGCCGGAGCAGGCGCAGCTGCTGAAGCTGGTCGGGATCAGGATGGTGACGTTCAAGGTCGGGCTGCGGGCGCGGTGGGACGCGGCGACGGGGGAGGTCACGCAGATCGAGGGCGAGGAGGTCGAGGAGGGGGACGTGGGCGGAGAGGAGGAGGCCGAGGAGATGAGCGAGTGATTGTATGATCTCTGCACTTCTGTTTGATTTCGCTGTCCCGTCTTCTTCTTTCACATTTTGCACGTACACAGGGTCATCTGGTATTCAGCAAACAGCGTGCGTACAGCCAAAGCGCGCCGCTCTACACTATCCTACATCCCCCAGGTCAGTACGTCTGCGATGTCTACCCATCACTCCTCGTCGAACAACAGCGCCCTCAACTCGATGCTCTGCCGATGCGGCGCCCCCTCGGGCGTCGTGCTGTCCCAAAACGCGCTATGCGGCGTCAGCCGCGCCCTGTCTGTCAGCGAGTCGTAGCACTTGATCAGCGTGACCTCCTCCGGCGTCTGCTGGCTCAGGTACCACCACTTGTGCGCGGGGTTGTAGCGCACGCTGAACGTCGCCCCGACGCGGTCGGGGTAGTAGTACGTGACGGGGACGAGGTCCGCGCGCTCGTCGAGCGCGCGCCAGTCCGAGACCGCGAGCGGGCGGTGGAAGACGGGGTTCGCGATCGGCCGCCAGACGTTGACGAGCCGCGTGCGGGATTGGAGGAGGCGCGGGGCGTCCGCGCCGAGGAGCTGGTGCACGCGCTTGATCGTTGCTTCGTATGTCTGGTCGATGTGCACGCGTTCCTGTAGGGAACAGGAAGGTGAGCGGGTATCGGGGGCGGGGATACGGGGGCTTACCACGGGGCCGCGCGAGACGTTCCGGGGCACCGAGCCGTCTTTGTCGCTGTGACGCCTGCACCCTGGAGTCAACATACACTCTGCGCATGCGCCAGTGCGTTCGGACGGACCTGATGGTATGGTCGAAGATGACGACCTTCTTCGCGCCCGTGACGCGCCTGAGGCCCAGTGAGAACCTTCCCTATTTCCTACGATTTGTAGCTTTTGCCAGCGATTGCCGTCTATTGCCATCTTTTCAGAGCTGTCTCGTTGACAGCTCGGCGTCTATCCAGGCTTCATTTCATACATCGATGATCGCTTTTATATATATAGAATGGCAAATCGACGTCGATTTGCCACGTCGCACGTATATATATCGTTCACTCGACTGTGTCGACACGATCGTCGACATGCGTATATACACCTGCCCGTCGGTTGGATCGATCACCGACTTGTGTCCGGTGAGGCTACCAGACGCCTGCGCAGCTGCATGTGGTGAGCCTCTCGTCTCGCTCGCTGTATGTTTCACACCATCCCTCTACGCAGAAAATTCACTCGCGCACACTTTGCGGATCACGATAAGGCACTATGATCATGAGATATGCCGGAAGAGGTATGTCAGCGCACTTGCTATGTCACATGCCTTCGAGTATGCTCAGTTTTTCCGTTTATCTCTCTACTAGGGAACCTGGCTTACTCAAAGTATCAGACCAGCGAGGCACACACTCGAACAAGAGCGCGTCATGGAGGTTCTCCGGAGTAGTTCACATTCAGTGAATTCACTACGGCGCGTGCGCAGGACCAGTCCCGCGAGCTCGACCGCGCGGTCGGCAGATTGGGCCACCAACGTGCACCAACCCCGAACATAATGTCATGCATAACCGCGGCTCTCCAGGTACGACCTCATCCCTATCAGTTTTCCCTCACATCTGCAGTCAGTTCTGCTCGTTTCTTCTAGGGGGTCGCAACGGCTTCTCTGTCACCATCCAGGGGTACACCAAGCCATTCTTCCGCAAATGGTCCGAAACGCGGCCAGTTGGCACAGTGCAGCAGCCGCCGTGCGTTCGGTAGCGTAGATAACAATATATTTTTTGCAGACATATAACACCGTTCGGACGGATTGATAGAGCCAACGCACCTCGTCTTTCCAGCGAAGAGTGCAGATGGAGCCTCCTCCGCCTCCCAGCAGGCAGCTTTTGCCGGACGTCTTGCCCCCTAATACGATCACCCAATATCTCTGTGACTGCCGGAAGCATTGTGGTGGCACTCTACGCACTGTCGCGTTACGCACCTTCAACAGACACGCAACGCATCGCACTACGCCCGACTCCGAGCTCATACTGCACCTGTCTCCCGACGCGGATACCCCGGTCATAGGACGCCCCCCTCCCCCACCAATTACGCGGTCCATAGTTCACGGATCAAGCACACAAGGACGATATGGACAGGTATGTCATACAATAAATGTATTGTTATTCATGTATTTGAAAATGCGGTACACAGGCGAGCTCGCTGAGCAGCGCACAAGTCGCATCACACTCTTGGGAAGGAGCCGGAGAGGCAAACTCGAGCGAGTCCTCGGAGAGCTCGAGTGAGTCCTCGGATGATGGGCGCGCTCGTCCTGGGGGCTCGCAAGCTCCCCCTCCCATCCCGCAACAAGGCGTCTCCCCGCCTTCGCTCCCTAGTTCCCCACCCCATCAACTCTCTCCCCCTACCTCTCCTCGCGCACGCGCGGCGACCGAGGGGCGTTCCGAGTCCCATTCCTCGCGCTCGGAATCCGAATCGGAGCCGGAGGTGGGCTACACGGAGGATCAGGGTGCCCCTCGCGATGCTCACCAGAGGGAGTTCCGGATTGCTCAATTGTTTGTTGATGCGCTCGGTGGGGCCACCTTGGATGCTTCTGGTCTTGACGGAGACACTCTGGGCAGGCTTCGAACCCCTCGCATGCAGCTGCCTGAGCTCGATGCTGGCCATCTGGCTGGCATGCGCATGTATCTCGCCCGAGGCGACGCTTCCGAGGACAACTACACGGACGTCCGAGCAGCCATGACGGAGTACCTCAAGGCTTCCTCCACACCTGGCCCCGCGATCCCGACCTATGAGCAGGTCAAGCGGCTCGTGGGGCAGGTCACAGGGGTCACTGCCGTGCGGACGGACATGTGCCCCAACTCATGCATTGCGTACACGGGCCCTTTTGAGAATCTTCTCGAGTGCCCTTACCCGCACTGTCGGCAGCCGCGCTACGAGCTTGTTGGCCTGGATCGCTTGAAGCGCGTTCCGAGGCGAACGTTTTTGACGTTCCCCCTTGGCCCGCAGCTCCAGAGCTTGTGGGCGTCCCCAGGCACGGCCCTCAATATGCGTCACCGTAGTCGCGAGACGCAGCGCATCATCGCTGAGGTACAGGCCAGGCAACGCCAAGGGAGTACGGAGACCTTTGCTATGGTCGACGACCTGTACTATGGAGCGGACTATCTCCGCGCTGTTGCGGCCGGGGAGATTGGTCCTGATGACATGGTCCTGATGTTCTCCCTCGATGGTGCTCAGCTCTACGCCTCCAAACAATCTGATACATGGTTTTATATCTGGGTCCTCCTCGATCTCTCCCCCACGTTGCGCTACAAGAAGCGTTACGTCCTCCCTGGTGCCGTCATCGGAGGTCCCAACAAGCCCCGGAACATCGATTCCTTCCTCTTCCCCGGACTGTTTCATCTTGCGGCGTTGCAGCGCGAGGGACTCCAGGTCTGGGATGCTTCTCAACAACGTCAATTTGTATCTTTTGTCTTCCTCCTTCTTGGAACTGCCGACTCTCCTGCGATGGCCTATCTCAATGGGCTTGTCGGGCACAACGGGTGTCAAGGCTGCCGTCTGTACTGTGGACAGGTTGGCCGCCGAAAACCTCATCATCCCACGTACTATCCCGCGCTCCTGCGTCCGCGCGACGATCACGACGGTCCCCCCAACATGTCGCTTCGGGTGCAAACCTTGGCCGATTCAGCTGCGGCGCAGCAGCGCTACAAGGAGAACCTCGTGCGCGTCAAGGGCGCGAGGAACAAGGCCGAGTATACCCGTTTGCGCCTGGAGACAGGCATCGCGAAGCCGAGTCTCTTCAGCGGGCTGCCTCGTTTCCTCGGTGTGCCGGGTGGGTTCGCCCTTGATCTCATGCACCTCATTTCCCTCAATCTGACAGACCTTATCATGTCCCTCCTCCGCGGCACTCTCACCTGCGATTCTCCCGATGACAAGTCCACCTGGGACTTCGCGATCTTCCTTGATCAGGACCTGTGGCGGCAACATGGCCAACTGGTGGCCGATGCGACTCGATATCTCCCTGGTTCTTTTGACAGACCTCCCCGCGACCCCTCCAAGAAGATTTCGAGCGGGTACAAGGCCTGGGAATTCCTGCTCTATGTTTACGGCCTACTCCCAGGGCTCCTCCGACACATCCTTCCCCCCGTCTACTATCAACATTTCTGCCGCCTGGTCTATGGTGTTCGCATTGTTCTTCAGTTTCGTTTCCGCCCTAGACTTGACTTGCCAGCTGCACACACATCATTTGTTCAGTACATCGAGGAATATGAACACTTGTACTACCAACGCCGCAGGGAGCGCCTCCATTTCGTGCGGCCGAGTTTGCATTCACTTGGTCACATTGTCCCGGAGGCGACGCGCATCGGACCTGGGGCACTCCATTCACAATGGACACTCGAGAACTTTATTGGGAACATCACACGCGAGATCAAGCAGCACGTTACACCGTATGCTAATGTGTCAGAGCGCGCTTTGCGGCGCTGCCAGATCAATGCTTTGAAGGCCATGATACCCTCGCTCGCTGAACCCGAATCTACACTCCCACAGTATGCCGAAGAACTTGGAGATGGGTATGTCCTTCTCACCGCTAGGGACTCCCGCCATCGCGTTGTCCCCCCCCTTGAGGCACGTGCCTTGCGCGACTTTGTTCGCCACGAGGGCATCCACCTTCAGGACCCCAACTGGGCCGCTCCTGTGCTACGCTGGGCCCGACTGCGTCTTCCCAATGGGCAGGTAGCCCGTTGTGGGTGGAAGGAGATCGCCTTAGAGGCCCGGGGGCGAAAGCCACGGCGCGCCCGGATGGTCAAGGTATGTGTCACCTAGCAAAAGATTGCTCATTGACTTATGGGTTTGTTCAGCTCCGAGATGAGCGGTTCGCAGAGGTCCAATATTTTTTCCGCATGGACTTGCATGGTCACACTGAGACTCTGGCTATGGTTGCCTGGTTTACGCCACCAGACAAGGACATTCTAACGTTCTCTCGGGGGACACTACTAGCATGCCAGCACTTAGGTGATTCGTCGCGCGCGGTCATCTTTGCGAAACAGATCGTCTCTGTGATCGCCATGGTTCCCCTGCCTTTGTCATCGCAAGAAGCTCAGCAGCCTCGTGCAGATGTGCTGTACAGGGATCGTTTTTACGTCGTAGAAAAACCGGGTTTGGATGTTGCCAGAATGGCTGGACGCGTAGAGGATTGTACTACAGACATGGATGGCCTGGACGCCTTGGCGTAGTTTCCTTCAATTAGACTCCTGGGTAGGTGCTTTGTACATACACATACGCACAACAAATATCCGTCTAGTACTCCTTGTAGCGCAACAAACCACATCGTAGCGCGACAAACTGCCTCTTTGCGCAACAAAACGCCTCGTAGCGCGACAAACCGCATCGTAGCGCCACAAAGTGCCTTGTTGCACGGGCCTTTCTGCATCACCCGTGTCCTCCTTGTTGACCTCGTCCACACGTTGCTGCGCCACAAATTCGTAGTCGTCGTGAGGGGCGACCCGCGGTAAGAGCGCATCTCTGGCATCCTGGGTAGGTTTGGTACGCTGGGGAACGCAGGCCCCAGGGGAACAGAGGAGTCTGATGGCGTGTGAACGCAAGGAATGTACGGCTGCAGAGAAGACTTGAGCGAGGAACGTCTGTCTCCACGACGGAAGCCTGCTCCTCTGCGGCGCGAAATTGAAGCGAGGGCTGGGGCCGTGGGACATGTGCGATAGCGACAGCTGGAGGTAGGTCTCGGTTCTTCGCAAATGCTGTTTCATGAACCACTTGACCGATGGCGGAGGAGCAGTAAGACCAGTTGAGATAGGACAAAAAGCGAGACAGAACACGAAGGAAAGATTTTGGGGCTTGCGCGACTCCAAGAATCATAATACACCTGGGGCCAAAAGGCGTTGAGCTCGACGATGCCAGTTAGCTGGTATAGAAATGTGTTCGCGCGACTCACAAACATTGTACTAAGCACCCCACGAAGGCGGGAGCGTCCGCTTCTTTTTCGGTGCAGTGGTGCCATTTCCTGGGCAGGAGTTGTGCTTCACCCGAAATCCAGAGGAAGAGGTAGCGATGGGATCCAGAGTCCTCGAAGACCCCTGGGAAACCGGCGGGACAGATGAATTGCTGCCCGCCACGGGCGGACCAAGGCGAGTGCCTGGAGGGTTGCACAAGAGGAGCTCGTCAGCCAAGGGAACACGCAAGGCCGCCACAAGGGTCGCCAAAAGAGCAGGATCGTGAGCCAAAGATGTCCGGAGTGGATCGACAAGGGTGTCCAGCAAAGGTGCCTTGAGAGCCGTGAGGAGGGGCGGTACAAGAGAGTCAACTAATGAGTGTGCAAGAGAGGGTTCAAGGGATGCAATATCGTGGCGAGGGGGGGAGCTCTCCGCAAAAATAGCCGACGTCCCCACGGGAGGTTCCTGGGCGTCCTCCTGGGTGCTGGCCGATGTGGTGTTTCCTCCCACCGAGTCGAGCTCATTCGAGCTCTTCTCAAACCAGTCGAAAACTGAATTGAAAGTGTTTAGGACGCCCTTTGTGCCTTTCCCTACCTCCTCCTGAAGAACGCAGTACTTGTCAATGGTGTCGGGGCCCCGGTCCTCGGCCAGATGGCAGGCTAGACGTGCCGCTGTAGTAGCCAAGGTGAGTAGACTGGTGACAACAATTTTCCGGTTGCCCTCAGGATGTTTCTCGATGTTGTTTTGCAATGCCCATGCAAGAATGAGGGGCTCGGGGAGTTTTGCTGTGGACATACTGACCAGAAGGGCACTCTACGAGAGAGACGGTGGACGCCGCGCGACAGGTATCGCGTTCCACTCGCCGTCACATGACCTGACGCGTCCTTTGCCAAATGTCGCGACAACCTTGCTCCCAACATCTTTCTCTCCTCGCCAACATCTTGCTCTCACCCTCTGATAATTCCTCCGGCCAAAATGTACACCGCACCATCAAGAATCACAATATCTCGTTCTCTCAGCCTTGCAGACCCCACACAAGGTGAGCACAACACCATCCTGGATGCAACTTCCTCTGTAAGTTGCTATACCCGCCCCGCCTGATGATGCATATACTCATTGAAACAATTTCAAAAATGTTCGAGGCTGCATTTGGAACGCGCATCTGTACAGGAAACACCTTGTCCGATGGCAGATCTGACGTAAGTGCCATCCTAGCCCACTCAACGCTTCGCGCACTGCCCCGTTTGTCAACAGATTTCGGGAAGGAACAACGTAGCGTCTGCATCCGAATTGGAGCAGACACAAGCCGAACTTGCTCGTCTCAAGGCCATACTTCGTGGTCATGGCATCAGGTATTGTATTCTCGCCTTCTCGCCTTTGGCTGTCAAGCGGCTCATTCAGGCATTCCTGACGGCCTTCGTGGCTTAGTGAAGGGTGAATGCTCCCGTCGTTTGTGATGTCCAAGGGAGCAGCTAATATCAATTCATAGTTTCAATGATATAGAGACCATGCCTGCTGGGGGGTCTATGGTGCACGGGCGATCAGAAGGGCCTCTGTTGCCAGCGCCCGTGTCAATACGAGCTGCAATGCAACCTGACGCCATGAACCCCGGTGAGCGACCTGATATAAAATTTCTGGCCCATGCTGAGCGCATATATGCGCATATATTCACATCAGGTACTTCGATGTTTTGGGCGAGCCCGCCCCAGGATCACACCAATCCCACTGAAGCCTTCCCAGAGCGCGGACCCGATGGCAAGATCCTGGTTATTCCTCGCCTTGAGCAGGACTATCCCCAGGCCGTACGTACCTTGTGATCTATATTTTTACTTCATAATCTTATTGCCGACAAATGCAGGCGAAGTACTGGACTAAACGAAAATTCGAAGACTTCAGGAGAGCCGAAGATGTCACCGTGCCAGGCGCCACCAAGGGCAGCAAAGGCCCTGCGCGTCTGAAATTCTCGAACGAGAATGTTATGATGCAGTTTGTTATCGACGTGCATGGCAACGTAATCGATGGCGACCGGGCATCCGCTATCCGTGCGGAAATGCGCGCTTGGATACGAGGCCGTCAGGACCTCCCGGAGACATGGAAGGGAGGCGCCTCTGTCGAGATGAAAGCTGCACTCTACAAGCACATGTACGAGTGCTTTCCGGAGCTCCAACTGGGCGACTTCGACTGGAAGGTCGAACAAATTGCTATTGACGTTTACGCACAGATCGCCGTCGGCCTGCGCCGCAAAAAAAAGTCGCTCAAAAAAAAGGCTAGCAAGACAAGCAAAAAACGCGCAAATCGTAAGTACACAATTGTTTCATGACCTCGACAGTTCGCTGCTCATGTTGCGCACACCTCCGCGGAGACATTCCCCGGGATAGCGCGATGGAAATGGACCTGGACGAAGCACCTTACCGGATGCGTGCTCAGTCAGAAGACCATCACGTTCGTTTTCTCAGCTCTGCCAGGTCGTATTGATGGATTCTGACGATGTTCTCGTCCAGGGTCCTGCTCCTGATATCATCACAGAGGTGAACATTTCTGGTGTAACCCTCGCAACCCCGCGAGGCCGCATTGATGGATTCTGACGATGTTCTCTTCTAGGGGTCCGCTCTTCAAGCGATTGCTGGTGCGCAAGAGCCCAGTCCACTTGCGGTTCCGGACAGTCCCCTCTTTGCATCTCAAGATGCGTCTCCTTCCTTAGAAGCATCCACCGCAAACCCTGTAGCGTCCGGCGGAATGCCGGCTCCTGTCTCCCACAACTCTCAGCAGGGCAGCTCGATCGTCTCCGCGACCACGCTCGCCGACGTCTGCGCAACGCTGAATGCGGCTCGCACGGACGACCACTCTGGTCTCGAGATCGTTGCGAGCGATGGGCGTAGCAACACGTCGGAGTCTGCGCCCCGCAGCCGCGCCCACTCCACCCATGCTGACAATGTTCCCCAGTCGGCCCAGATCCCCTTAATAGTATGTATGCTTCTCGTAACCACACTCTGCCCCAGTTGCATTGACACGCCCTACCATTTCGCAGATCCCAGACCCCCTGTGAGTACATCCCACTTGTTTTGCAATCAGTATTCATCTCAGATTGTGTCCTCGCAGCGCTGATTTGTGGGCCACGTCGGAAACCGGGCCCAACGGCAACGCTGCCTCGCCCCCTCCATCACCACCACCCACGGCAGGGCCTTCGACGGCCGTCGGCACCACCTCCACAAAGGCATCAAAAAACGATGCCCGAGTGCGTGTCTGGCCCCCTACACCTTCGAAAATGAAGCCAAAGTGAGTGCCCTATTCATACAGCAGCAATGTACTGAATTCATCCGATAGAGACCTATGCGCAAGAATCTGGAGTGCCCGGAACCCTGAGGGCACCGAGGCGGAATTTGACGCGTTTTACAAGGAGAAAATTCCTACTCAAAACATGCGACATGTACGTGCTTCCTAGTGGCCTCGGATTGCGGCCCACTGACACCATCTTCGGCAGAGATATATCCGCCTGGACGGTGAATTGGAAGCCGCACCGAGCAAGAAGGGAGCCCCGAAAACTGGGGTGAGTGGGCTTCCCTGCTGTCCTCTCTTCTAATTAATAAGATCACACATCTACACAGAACATCTAAGAGGCTGCTAATGGATGGTGTCAGCATCTGGGACATGCAAGGGTACGTGCTTCGTGTGCTCATTTGTAGTGTGTATATATTCAAGCTGACTGTCTAGCATACAGGGTGATAGTGGAACAGATGCGCGGATGCAGAGGTCATACGATTACCTCGCGCTCACACAGATACCCGAGTGGTGGGGCATGGCGGAGCAGGAGAGCCAGGTGGGCAGGGCGCGCAGGTGCGGGTGCGGGTTCGGGTGCAGGCGCGGGCGGGTTCGGGTGCAGGTGCGGGCGGGTTCGGGTGCGGGTTTGGGTGCGGACGCGCGATGAGCTTTATTGGTCGAATTGTACCTTTTTCTGGCTATCTCTGTATGTCGCGACAGACCATAATAGACTGTAATCGACCTGAATCGCTACAAATCGACGGATAAAGGTGAGTGATGGCAAATGGCTTTTTGTGGCTATATCTGCCTATCACCTGCTATATCTACCGATATCCACCGATATTGGTCTTTATGACAGCTAGAAATAGCTACAAATCGTAGGAAATAGGGAAGGTTCTCACTGGGCCTGAGGAGCTCCTCGCCCTCCTTGTAGTACACGTCCCTGATGCGCGCCTCGTCCGCGAACTCGCTCTCGGCGCTGGGGTGGCGGAGGAACTGGAAGCCGTGCACGTCGAGCGCGAAGTCGTGCTCGCGCCCGCGCGCGTCGTGCACGACGACGGGGCGCGGGTCGTCGCCGAGGTTGTGCTCGGGCCGGCCGGGGGGCGGGGCGGTGTAGATGTAGCGGTAGGCCTCGCCGGAGGCGTCGCCGTCGAGCGGCTTGTAGTAGTTGAGCGTGGTGTGGACGTCGTGCGGGGTCGGGAGGGTCGCGATGGCCATGTCTGGGGCTAGGGGGTGGTGGGTATGGCTTGAACGCTATAGGTGCCGAGTACGACTCGCAGGCCTGTTGACCGCTGAGATCGACGACTTGGCTGCGACCGCTGGGCTTGTCAGTGGTATATATGACGTTGCTGGAGGTGTGCACTGACGGCTCGGTAAGCAGGGATGGGCAGAAGCGAGTGCCCGATGTGGTTTGTGTAATTTGAGAGCTGGACTTGACAGAAGAAACCTTACGCTGCAAACATCGAGGAGGGCCCTTCGTCATACGGATAGGAGGTCGCGCCATCGTTCTCATGGCGTACTCGAGTAGTACGAAGTGGAGGGAGACACAGATCACATGAGCTGGGCCGCGCCCGATATGTTGGAGAGAACGGTGTATAGATAGCATCTGAGGCGCATTTACATTCGGATAGTGTACGCGGGTCTCCGCTGATCCGTAGACTTGTAGAAGAAAAGCACGGCACCTGCAGCGTCAATTGTCGAATGGCCCCGAACTGCTATAGCAGACGTAGCTACACCGCGTGAAGCGCCGGATTACGGAGGTTGGGGAACAAGGAGAGGATGAGCGGATCACCGCCGCATTCCCAGCGTGTTCCCACCACATTCCGCCGGATCAGAGGATGTGAAGGCATTAACTGCCTTCCGCTCACGTTCCGCTCATGTTCCTACCTATGTACCCCGCACATTCCCAGTCGTAGAGATTCTGGAGTGTAAGAGGATCCGCGGGTTTTGATAAACCATGGCATATCAATTATTAATCAATATATATTCGCGCATGAGCAGTCCGGACGTCCCGCGTGCTAGTGACCCCTTTTACGAGCTCATGCGCGACGATGCATTAGCGGCGTTGACATAGGTTGAAGCCAGTGATTCAAAGGGAGACATATATTGATCATGGACTACAGATCAGGTAGATACATAGGAGGGTTGAGCTTGCGCGCGGCTCGTAGAACACTTGCTGAGGTAGGCAAGGAGCTGCAGGCTGAGCAGCGTATCTCCGTTCCGTGACGTCTGCAGATGTTAGGACCAGTAGACGAAACCTAGACAAATATGTGCGCAGGGGCTCTGTCCGTTTCTCCTTCCCCGCACACCACATGCACCATGGCCGACCCGAGGGCGAGCGACTACAAGTCAACATCTGCAGCGCCTC